AGTGCCACTTCTGCTTCTTCCTCGCCCGTCTTTGCATCGTCAAGCGCTGTGGCATCGTCCAAGACATCGGGTGTGGGATCCTCCAGTGGTTCTGCCACCGCTTCTACCACTGCTTCTACCACTTCTTCTACCACTTCTTCTACCACTTCTTCTACCACTTCTTCTACCACTTCTTCTACCACTTCTTCTACCACTTCTTCCCAACCTGGCTTTGCATCATCCTCCACGACATCGGGTGCGGGATCATCCAGCACAGCGACCGCCACCACGACCAAGGCCAAAAGCACCATTACGGTTACTGCCACGACCACGGCCCCATCAAGCCCCATAGTGCTCTCATCCAGTAGCCCTACCGCTGCCTCAAGCTCTGGTCACAGTGCGTGGAGCTCTGCCAGCTCCGCCTCAGCTGAGACCACTTCAAGCTTCCCTGGAGGCCGATTCAACCGCGCTAAGTCTACCGCAGGCTGGAGCGCTGCTACTACCTCCTCCACCTCCACCTCCACTTCAGCGGCGCCTTCAGTCACCCATGGCTTCGGCGGCCACGGCAAGGGTGGGAATACCGGTGCCTGGAACGGCGGTAGCAATGTCGAAGAGTACGGATGGTAGATAGACGAAGAACACCAAAGAATCAACGTCGGAATAGACAGGATAATGGTAATACGGTGGAGAAACGGTCCCTGTCATAAGTAGCAAACATAGCTAGCTAGTAATTGTTAAAATGAAATTTGTTTCTCTTAACAAGGTACACCGGTTCGAATATTCTCAACAGTGATATCGGTGATGTACTGCACAATTATGAATAGTCATCTAATAGATCGAGCACATTCTTAACATAATCGTGAGTGCACTGGAGGTAGCTCGACAAACAGTAGCGACGGTGGTGCTGAATAGGGCGGTTACTAAAGTTGAAGCCAGACGTAAGTATGGTAGAGAGAGCTCAACACCATTGTTAGGTTACCCGTTTTCTCAACCGTACCATTTCCGCACTTATCCAGGAAACCTTTGAACTTCCCTACTTCTACTTAGACTTTTCTTCAACTCAGCTCTTGCATCTTGCAACTCGAATTCCAAGTCTCTCTTCACATCCCACAATCCATCAGATCAACCTCACCTCAGCTTATCTTAAATCCTATCCGGAAAAATAAAATTGGAAAAGAAAACACCAAAACGCTCACCATGAGCATAGGATCCAATACAAGACAAGAACTCAACACAGGAACGGAGTTTGTCTTGCGAAACACCTTTGGCTCCTGCCAACCGCGGCGTCCCAGTGCGCCTCCGTTACAGCAGCAACCTCCCCCACAAACTAAACCCTTCTGCCGCAACCGCTGCGAGGTTTTCGCTTCCCGGCTGGCAGCCCTCTCTACCTCTTCCTTTCTCGAACGTGCCCGCGCCGAGATCTGGCTCGCCGAGCACTACGAGCTCCCGCGCTGGCTCACCGAGCGCTTGGACGCGCTGCGCGGCATCACGTCCACCCACGACGACGACCCCGTGAGTGATCCCAGACTGCCCTACTGCGCGCCAGCTACTAACCTGCTATACCAGGATCCCACCGATCAATGGGAAGCCGAGCAAGCGTGCGCACGAGAGGCGTACGCCAGTGCCGCCCGGCGCCAAAGATTACACAGACCGCCGGGCGAAGACCCGCCCATCCAGCCGTCGTCGTTCCGCGTCGAGTGGAACCTTATTCTCCCAGCGGACTACCCCCCGCCCGTGCATCCGAGGACGCAGAATGCGACGGGCCCTTCGTCATCTCTGCAGGGACCGGTGGGGAGGGACCAGAGTATTTCGCCTGTTGAGCGCTTGCCTTCGCCTGTGTGGCGACTGTGAGTGTACCCAGAGTGCGTGATCAGAAGATAGAGGGTTAGGTCTGGCAGGAGCGACAACATGGTGTCCGGGACGATGGGTGAATTCAAGGTGCGGGTCCATAGTCGGTGTGAGTTGAGATAGGGTTGTGTATGTCTTTGCTGATGGAAAAAGACACATCATTTTGTACCTGGGATTAGCATCGGCGCGATATATAGATTTAGTTCAATTCTTTCTCTTATTCACATGCACTCGCCTCTGCCTTACATTCACATATTTCTTCTCATGCCGTCTAGCTAGCACTCCTCTTTCCCTTCGCCCACTCTCGAAGAACGTTCTTCTTCAACTTTCCTGTGCTCGTCTTTGGCAGCTCCTGCACTACCTCCACTTCCCTTGGCACCATGAATTTGCTGATATTGCTGTTCTCTTTCGCCCAGGTGATGACCTCGTCAGGTTGTAGAGAGCCGCCCTCCTTCACGGTGACGAATGCTTTGGGTCGCTCGCCCCAGTGCGAGTCGGGGACAGCAACGACGCCGACTTCGAGAATGGAGGGATGCGTGGCAAGCATTGATTCGAGTGCGACCGAAGAGATGTTTTCGCCGCCTGTGGAGAGGTTAGCAAACGGGGGCAGGGTGAAGCGGTGAAGGATGGATACCTGAGATGATGATGTCTTTCGCTCGGTCCAGGATTTGGATTGCGCCGTCTGGATGCCAGACGGCAAGATCACCAGAATGGCTCACGCCGCCGGCCCACAGCTTTCTGGTCGCTTCTGCGTCCTTGTAATACCCCTTCGCACAAATGTTACCCTCGAAGACAATCTCCCCAATTTCCTTTCCGTTTCTTTCGACATCGATAAGAACACCTTCGGGCTGTTCCGTCTTGATGACGCGCGCGGGTAGCGACATGACCATGCCGTGTCCCTGTCGCGCCATCTTCGCGTACTTCTCTTTCTCAGGGAGCTCTTCCCAGTCTGGCATATGATATCCCTTGGTTATCGGGCCATATGTCTCTGTGAGGCCATAAACGTGTACCGGATGCAGATTTAAATTCGTCATTTGTTCGAAGAGCCATGCTGATGGCGGGCTCGCTGCAACGGTGACGTGCACGGGGTTAGGTAGTTTCTCTGCTTCCTTCGCTGCGCACAACAAAGTATTTACTGTAGGCGCGGCGTTAAAGTGGGTGATGCCCTCTTCTTTCAAGAGCCTCCAGATCTCCGGGTAGTCAATCTTCCTGAGGCAGTAATGCGTCCCGCGTACCGCCGTGACGGCCCAGGGAAACGTCCAGCCAGTCGCATGAAACATGGGAAGAGTCCAAAGGTACTTGGCTCGACCTTTGTGGAAGTTGAGTCCAGAATCGATAACGTTGCCCATTGCCGCGAGATAACATCCCCGGTGTGTGTATTCGACGCCTTTAGGGCGTGCTGTGGTACCGCTCGTGTATGCCAATGCGATGACGCTTTCCTCGTCTTTGGCTTGCGCTTCGAGGTCCGCCCATCCCTTGGATCCATTCTCGTGGTCGTACGTGAGGCCTTCAAGCACCGCATCGTCGAATGGTCCGCTTAACTCGCCCTCTGTCACATCCGTATCTGTATCGATGATGATCTTGACGGCTGATCTCTCATTTTTATATTGTCCCAACAACTCTTCAAACTCATAGTCCGCGATTATGAGGTCGACGTCCGAATGCTGGAAAATATACGATATGTCGTCGGTTTTCAGTCGGTAATTTACAGCGACCGAGACGGAGCCAGCGGCTGCGATGCCGAACAATGCTTCGAGGAAGGCGGGGGTATTTGTGCAAAGCAGTCCGACGCGCTTATAGTTGTGCTTGCGAAGGTAGTAGGCGAAGCCGCGCGCCCGGTCGGCCGTCTCAAGATACGAGCGTCGAAGAATCTTATTATTTGCCGTTTTGTGATAGATTGCTGTAGCCTAAGTGATGCGCCACCTGATTAGCCTGATCTTAAGAGAACACGATGGGTAGATGGGCCGGATCATACATTTGGTTCTATACAGGCCGCCCGCCAAAGCAAGCTTGTTGGTGACAACGTGTGGTAGTTGTTCCTGTGATGGTACTCATGACTGTCTCCAGGCTGTATCTTGGCTGCAGGCCCTGGAACTGGGCTTGCTGATGTGAAATGTGAAGCAAGCTTCTGTAGCCGTTCCATGGGACTCATTGCGCTTCCAGATGTTCAGATCGCGGGGTCGCGGGGCAGGACCGAGGTTGCTATGACGGTACTGGAACAGTCTAGCTGTAGCAATAAGTCGACGGCTTGATTGCAAACACCAGATGTACTTTGAGTGTTGCGCGTACGTGTGAGTCGTCGGAAAGCGAAGGTATAAGCTCTCGTTGCGGGGATGCGGAGCAGCCTCGAATCCCAAAGCTTGACCTTTGAGCGTGCAAATATGTCAATGGGATCAAGAAATAGCTCCTGTGTCGAGCAAGTCGCCTGATGCAGATCAAGCAGCTTACCAGCGAAGATTGCGTAGCAAGAATGTTGACCGAGGGATGCGAAGTTGATGTCGAAAGCTGGGGTAAGTACGACTGGGATAGCTAAGACGCGATCGACGCAACGTAGCCGAGGTCATCGTCACTCAATTAGCTCCAGCTCCATTCCTCCAGCGGCATCGGTCCGCGCCTAAAGTGCAGATAACGTCAAGCTTTTCGTTTGATTTTGATATAGTTCGATGTACACCACGCGTCATCACTGGAACGGCAAATGTCAGACATGGATATCATTATTGACAAGACCAACTCCATGACATTACCGAACCCATGCAGCCCCGAGGTTTTCATATTGTGTTTCTTCTATTCGGAAGATAGTATCTGACCGTGAAGGAACCCATGAACTCGTGAGCACTTTGAAGCTCTTTTTGCCTGGACACCCTGACCGATGGTCGAAAGATACTTGGAGGTCGAAAAATTCCCATAAGACCAATGCATTTCACGCCGTCCCTACTCATCACCCGTCCCCGTCTAGTAGCCGTACTGAGCGAGCTGCTCGGTGACCTTGGTATCAACCTTCGCGTCCTTCTTGGCCTGGGCAAGCTGCCTGCGCGCCTGCTTCTTCTTCTCGTGGTACGCGGCACCGTTGGCTTTCCTTCGCTCCTCAAGACTAAACATTCAACGTCAGCAGGATTCACTCTAGATAGTAGACCCTAACATACCGAGAGACAACATCCTGGTACTTCCAGCCGAACTCGTGGCCGAGGCGGCCGACAGTGCAGTACTTGCGGCCGGGCTTCAGGCGGAGCACACGGAGAGCCTGGGGAACAACGACGCGCTTCTTCTTGTCGTAGGGCGGGGGAACACCTTCGAAGGTCTTCAAGCGCTCCATGGCGGCGTTACCACGAGGGGTCTTGTGAGGGATCATGCCACGGACGGTACGCCAGAACATCTTGGAGGGAGCGCGGAAGTGGAAGGGACCTGGTGGCGGTTAGAGTCCGCGCTCAAGCTACCAACTGATGGGGAGCCTCTTACCTCCACGGGTGGGGTTGTAACGGGTCTGCTTGCGCAGGAAAGCAGAGTACTTCACTGCAACAAATGGTCAGCGAATGTTCGGGAGGATAAGCGATCGCAGGGCGTCTGCAATGCAGCGAAAACCCTCCAGTGCAATCCGTGTCTCCACATGTTCGAGTTTGTCTTTGGTCCAGGGCGATGCAATTCGGGGATCGGTTCGGGTAGACGTACACTTCGCGCGGAAGAACTCGCCGGAGATGTTGAGGGCTTCACATCGCACGACAACGACCTTCTGGCCGTTGAGCAGCTGCTTTGCAACAGTGCTGGCAAGGCGGCCGAGCAGGTGGCCCTTGCCGTCGATGACCTTCGCCATTGTTAGCCAAAGTCCATGTCCCAAAGTCGTTGCGGTGCGGTAGGATTTTGTTGCGACTCAGCGACGAGTGCGCAGCCGGGGTAGTGGATTGCAAGTGCTCGCAGCAGGCGTACGTACAATGACGGGCTCGAAGGTCGACATGATGCTCGGGGTGGTGCTGGGTGTTAGTATGGTCGTTGCAGTCGGAAGAGAAATCCAAAGTCTCGCGCCTCGAAGCCAATGTGGGCTTGGCAGCGCGAAATAGGCGAGAGCGACTGTGTGCGCTTACGTGATGATGCGAATGTGGTTAGCGCTGCGCACAGCTGCCTCACCACCGTCAACTTCGGCTGCTGTCAATACAGCGTCCTTGCCATCCAATGGCTGCGTCTTTCCAACAATCGATCGATGTACTCCATGCAGCGATTTCTAACTTCCCCCCTCACCAACGCCGCACTCTTTCGGTTCGCCAGTTTAGTCGAATTCTCTAGTGCAGCTTCTGGGCACTTCAGTGCCTTCGCTACGACATGCATGTTGCACACAAGCAAATTCCGAATGCTTTTACCAACTGATCTAAATACCTAGAGTCTGACCACGCGTAAATGATGGATATGCACAGCATGAAAACTTGGACTTCCTGTGCCTTGCCTGGGTACGCGACAATCGACACTATGTCATTTTGTCATAGACAGGACGACGTTGAACATACGGGAGAAGGGAGGTGACGATTATGCTTCGTCGACTCGCAGCATGGACTGATTCAACTCGTTACCCATCGCGCCATTTTTGCCATGGCGCATTACGCATAACTCATCTCAAGCTCGCTCCCTCCAATTTTGAGTATGTTCGCATCCACTGCGAACTCCATTTTCATACTCTGCGTGAAGCCGTCAAGCACTCAGTTCGGGCTCCCAAGATGGGCCTCGGGCAGGCTCACTGGCACCGATAGTGACCAGGTGCTCCAACTTCCTCGAGGGATTACGATGTCCTAACATCAGCATCACCATCTGATTGCAGGATCCGCATACCGCCCAGGGTCTCTTGCCGATGGAGTTGGCGACAAGCGCGTCGGTTCCAGTGCCAACATTCACAGCTGTTTAATTAACAGTGACCGAAGTTCCTACCCAGCCACTACACAGGATGGTAAGTCCTTTAGCTACGATATCGGCGCTGAGCTTCGAATGAGATTGTATCCTCATCATTCTGGCCACAGAGAAGGTTGGCTCAGACACTCCGGATAGGTGTGCTTGCAGTTCCGTGATTAACCCATCTCAGTTCAGAGCATCTTCACAAACTCGATTGAGTTGGAATTTTGACAAAAATCTCTGCCCGCAGGCTGTCTGTGATCTTACCTTCATTCACGAGGGCGCCTTCGGTGCCAACTGGAACGCGCACTCGCGCAGTCATCCACATTGCGTACCGCCCCTTCTCCAGACACAGGCTTCCATTTGTATCGAGTCATGACGAGCTTGTTTGAAGAGATCTTACGTCCTTACACGATGTGAACAAATAAGGCCGCTCTGATCAGGTGCGCTGCCGAGGTGAAGTGTGGGTACCGATGATGGCCAACAAACCGGCCTCGCTCACCAATCAAAGCAGTACCGTCGCTTCGGTATATGACTTGTTATCGGCGGTTCGCCTCGAGGTCCACACACCACCAGCGACCTGATAGGAATCGACTACTAGTGTGGAAATCGAGCTCGTGCCGCATCGTAATCTTCGTTCTCCACGTCATGGAGCGGACGACTTCAGCATCAAGGAATTCTTCCTCCAGATGTCTTTGGAATGGGGCATTATGAAGCAACCCCATGTCCAATACCGGGAACAGGGTAGAAATATCAGCACCTTCCTACGGGAAACGAACCTCCGTTTCTTTCCCGCGCTGGTCAGTTCGAGCAGTGGACCTTGTAATCAGCCTCAGCGCCCGGGGAAGCGATTGCACCATGCCGTTAGAGCCCCAGGCCGCACCATTTGTTGTTCGATTCCACCTACCAGGCACGGAGATAAACGATTTCCATCGCTACGTGCCCCATTGCACCGCAATTGCCCCGATAAGGGACCCATTTAGCCGCAACAAGAGCGCGTGTCTCCAGCGCTACTTCGTACATGCATGGAGCTCTCCGCACCGCTTTGGAATGTACGGGTACGAGAATAGCTCATGCCCACAAAATGCCAATACTTCGATGTGGCCTGATCCGAGGCATCCATTTCATGCCAAGTGAGCAAAAGATTGCGACCTGTCCCGGTGCTCCTTCCCTACTAGGAAAAATTTACACGACCATACATATAACCTCGAGCCTTATACATTGGGAATTGTCAGCTGATCCAAAGTTTAATGGCATCCTGGCGGGCGGCGCAGCTTTGCTTTTGACAGCAACTTTCACAATGACGCGGTGTCTGTCAACATCGCAAAGCAGAGAAGTGGTCGATCTGTGAGATCTAATCACGATTCACAACTTACATGTGGATCGGGCTCACATCACCGAGTGTCCGTTTTATGTCCGAGTTCACACTCGCGATTGAGGCGAGTGCAGCGGTCAAGCCGCCTCAAGTGGCGGTGACTCGCCAGGGTTTCCCCGAGCAGCTAGCGCGCATGCCTAGTACGTAATTCGGAGCGTGCCTATGCTGCCGAAGCATGGGAGGGCGCTAGAAAACCTTGGGCTTCCAAACTACAGGCGGCGGGCAGCTGGGGTCTTTTACTAAGAGCTGGTCAGAAATTAGAGTAGCGGGTACGGGCATAATTTCTCAGACCGACTTGCCACGATGAGTGAGACCTGCAGCCTCGGTCACTGACGTTTGTACCGTGCCACCGACAGGGCAGGGAGCATCACCGGGATCGATTGCTTCTGCCGCATGTGTTCATGCTCCCGGTGAGAAAAGACACACCGGCCGTTTCCACAAGCTCAAACCTTGCGTCGCGTGCGTGGAAAGGTACAATACATTCCACGATCTAAAGAGCAAGCACCTGCGAAGCGTACAGGGTATACGTGGCCCTTGACTGGTGCCAATGGAAATTGTCTTCCACCTTCAGGATGGTTGTGCAAGGATGCACGGAGGTCAAGTTATCCATCGTCTTGGAGGTGGGCCCACTCAATTCGGAGCCGGTCAGATTGCAAGCACTTATCCAGAAGTACCACGCGCGCTGAAGTGGAGCCGTACAAGCCACAGAGTTCTCCAAAGTCCTTGGAGTAGCCGTGGCATGGAACACTTCCAAGTTTCGACCCCAGTGCGGGCGGCCGTCGAAGCTGCAGGACAGCTGACCACGGCAACAGCACGAAAGACTGCGACGTCGAAGGTGCATTCGTCCAATCCCTCAAGGTCCACCCGTTCCGTAAGCGGAATGGTGCAGTGTACCACCTCGGACACATTCCATTCCAATTGGTGACGCCATGGTGGCTTGAGAAGGCTGGTGGCAGCGGTGGGGGTCGGAAGACAGGGCTTCGGATCCTCGCACGCTGCGTGAGACCGAGCGACGAGACCAAAGAGGACAAGGGCGCCTTGGCTTCCACGAGGCTCCAATACGCCATAAACGACTCCGGCACGGTTATCCGTGTTGATCGATGCCTCAAGCAGCACCAGCCTGCGAGTGCGGCCAGCAGCAGAAGCGCAAGAGGTCGGATGCTGCGCGACAGCCTGCAATGGAACAGACGATCACCGTCCGCTGCAACCCTCATGTATCAAGACGGACACTTCCTGCACCGAGGGAGCATTGTGCGGGCGCGCGCGCGCCACGACGAGTGGCACCGGGCCCAAGCGCGAGGGCTGTTGCTCGGCGTTGTCCACGAACCTGTGGCAGTGGTGGCTTCTCTGCGGGTTCCCCTCTTTCCAGATTGGCATCAATGCGCCTCGCGACGCCCAACAATGCGCTGTGACGCCACAACTTGCAACACAGGCTGCAGATAAGCGAGCTTGGCGGGCGCAGTCGTCCTTTTCCGCCGCGTCCAACGCTGAGAGCCTTGCTCTACTGGATGTGCCCTCGTAATTGCGCCTGGGGACGCGTGCGGCCGCCGGCCAGTCGCTGCCCAATCCCGCCGGCAATAGATCGTATGCCTCTATGCCAAGCTGAAAACTGCATTCTTCCTTTATCACTGACGCCTGCGCCTGCGCCTGTTCGTCAAGCGTCAAGCGGACGACTCCGAATTGCCAACGCCCAAAGGCTCGGCGCTACTCCAGTTCCGCCCTTGCCCACGGATCCACCTGGGTTATGATTCAGTGGATAGCCACTCCCACCGCCCCTCCCCGCGGCTTAGTCAATGCCAGCCGATGAAACTGATTGAATTCTTCTTAGCCTGCGCCTCTCCCCGTCTGCGATGCCCCAACTGCGTGCCACACTATGGATGCTTCCCCCTCCCCGGCCGTTGACGTCCAGGCCTCTGACGCTGCCCGTGACGCTGCAGCGCAGTTTGAAGGAACCCCAGACGCAGACGAGCAGACGTCACCAATCAACGATGATGGCGAGGAACAGCCACACAAGACAGCCACAGGGCCGATGCAGAAGCGAAGGCGGGTAACTCGTGCATGGTACGTTCCAGCGTGGCGATTGAGGCTGTGCAGTATTAACAAAACCCAGCGATGAGTGCCGCCGCAAGAAAATAAAATGCGACGGCAAGCAACCTTGCACCCATTGCACAGTATATAGCTATGGTAGGCGCGCCCGCATTCCCGCGTTTGATGCGCGCATCGCTGTGCACTCAGTAACACAATTCCAGAATGCACTTACGACCAGCCCTCCAATCGACGGCGAACCGCTGCACCTCAGTACATCGAGGCGCTCGAGACACAGCTAAAACGGGCAAAGACTATACTGTCTCTTGTTTTTCCTACCCTGGATATCGGTGATGCCAGCATTGATGCTCATTTGCAGAGTGGCATGCTACCACAGTTCCCCGCTTCCCAACCCCGACCGCAACCTATTCCGCAACCACGCAGTGCACCGCGCCGCGATGATCCAGCCAGGGCTGAGGATGCAGCCGACTCCCATCTTGAGTCCATGGTAAAGGCTACCGGTAATTTGGACCTTGACGAGGATGGCAATTGGGATTACCACGGCCATTCATCAGGTCTAAGTTTCATGCGAAGAATACAACAGGAATACGGAGACATAATCGGCGGCAAAGCGCCGTCTGCCTCATTGTTCAAATATCGGCCACCATCTCAAGTGCTAGATTCCCCGAGTTCCGCTCATCCCTCACCTGCGGACTCCACAGTCCTTCCAGCTGGAACTGACCTCCCACCCAAGAAGATTGCGCGAACTCTGTGCGACAGTGCCCTAGTTGATGCTAGCGCCATGCTCCGCGTCGTGCATTTGCCATCATTTTATAAGTCACTCGATCGCATATATGAGACAACGCCCGAGAACTACGGCAATGCGGAAAATACTTTCTTACCGCTGCTATACGCTGTGCTGGCGCTGGGCTCGCTCTTCCCCAAGGCCAACAATCAAGAGCTTGCGGGAGTCGAGGGAGCTGCTGATGAAGGGTTCGTCGACAACACCGTTCCAAATTTCCAAAAGCTAAATTGTTCCAGGTACAAGTATTTTCGAGCGTCGCGTCAGCTACTAGACGTTACCGACTGCCGCGATCTGACATCAGTTCAAGCTATCGTATTCATGATACAATTCCTCCAGAGCACAGCCAAGCTGTCCACTTGTTATTCCTACATCGGTGTCGCCCTACGCTCTGCCATCCGAATGGGAATGCACCGATCGTTCAATGTCAATTTTACACCGATAGAAGCGGAAACTCGCAAACGATTGTTCTGGGCGATCTGGAGAATGGACACTTATGTCGGTGCAATGCTAGGTCTGCCTCATTTTATCGAAGACGATGATGTCGACCAAGACTACCCAACCGAAGTCGACGACGAGTACATCACGGAAACAGAAATTCTGGCCATGCCAGAGGGTAAGATTTCTATCATGCACGCCTCAAATGCCCATGTGAAGATTGTGCGGATTCTCAGCAAGATTTGCAAATACGTGTATCCCACAAAAGGTACACAGTCTGGCGGCAAGCACTCGGTCACTTATTCAGTGAGCTACGCTAAGATCCGGGAAATCGAACAAAGCATGCAGCAATGGCTTGACGAGCTTCCGATGGCGCTCAAGCCCGGCGGTGAAGCTCCACCCATCATTCTACGGTGAGTGACGCCCGGCGAAAACGGGTCTCATGGCTGACGATATAGCAGGGTTCAGCAACTCCTGCGCATGGCATTCGCTCACGCTCAACTACTTTTGTATCGGCCCTTCTTGCACTACGTGTCGAGCTCGGAACGCAGCAAAGCCTCAGTCGACCAACGAGCATTCGCTTGTGCATCTGCATGTATCAGTGTATCGCGCAACATCATACACATCTCAGCAGAGATGAAGAAACGAGGCTTGCTCGTTGGTGCGTACTGGTTTTCCATGTACACCACATTTTTCGCCATCATTTCAATTCTCTATTTTGTGTTGGAGAATCCGACAAGCCAGACTAGTCGGGAGCTTTTCCGAGATGCTCTCGAAGGAAAGGAGCTTCTTGATTATTTTGCTAAACGGAGTCTCGCAGCGGATAGATGCTCAGAGACATTGAAGGTATGTGTATTCGGACAACGTGCAGTATTGTGGATACTGTGCTAATGTCGTCACAGAGTATATTTGATAGATTGCCTGAGTCCGTGAAGCGTGGAGGTGCGGTTGCGCCGACTGACACCAAAAAACGTCGACAGGCGAGTTCACCTCAATCGATGCATGCCCGGCCGCATGCGCTAAAGCAGGATTCGGATTTCGTCGCAATGGGCGTTAGACGAGCATCAACATTCCCGGAAACTATGCCGCCGAATGGCAAGACGACGCTCCCCTTGTCTCAAAGCCATCTTTCCAGCCTGGGGATAGACCGTTTCAATTCCGCCACGCCAGGCTCCGATTATTTCGATCAAACGCCGAGTCTTACTCCGACGTCAGCCACTCCCAGCAGTCTTGGGAGCTATGGTTTGGCGTCTGGGCCACCACATACACGCCCAGGCCAGCCTTTCGCCGGGTCGCCGTTGACGACTATGGCTGATGCATCGGGACTCAATGTCGACATGAACACGTTGATGTTCCCATCTGCGGATCCGTTAGCATACCCAAACCAGCCCATGACTACTTTTGAAGACAGTCACCCTCAGGCCTACCAGTTCAAGCATGGCTCACCGATTATGGCGCAACTACCTCCACAATACACTGGTATTGACATCAAACCTAGTCCGGCATCGTATGCACCAAGCCCTATGGCTAATATACGCACAGGAACAGGGCGGCCAGACAATGAGGTACAGCTCTTGGGGCCCATGCCCATGTATCTCATGCAAGGTGCCCAGCACCGCAGTTTTCACCCGCAACCCGGTGTGCACGGCCCTCCACCACCGCAGATACCCGGTCAGAATCCCGCCAACATGAGTTTCGACGAGATCTTTGGTGGTGAGGAATGGGCGCAAACCTTCATGGACCCTGGCTTGGGCCTAAGTGGCGGGCCTGGGTACGGTGGACCGCCTCATTTCGGTGCTGGTGCTCCAAATATGGGAGGCTGGCAGTAAAGTTGTGCAGGTGAAACGGCTCCCGGACGCCACAACGCCATATAAAGATCACATCTTGGCCACATTTTAGACAGGAACACTACGACGATGATCTTCAATCGTGCATCAATCCAGACACATCTGCCCACGGCGCTTGATGCCGCCACTTGGAGCAACACACTCAATGAGGACGCAGATAGAAACGATACCCAGCCAGACAGGTATCTGGACGAGAGCAGGACCTCTCCGAAGACGGCCTCATCTCCGATTCAGGATACCCAGCTATTCTTGTACTTGTTATGTTTTTGCGACCACTACTATCTCTGGCTTCGTTTGGAAATTTTGCGCTTGGAATGATACCATCAACGGGCACACCAGGGGCGTTTTTCGTTTTGCAAGTTTCGATGCGAGAAACTCATTTGGAAAGGACGGTGCTATGAGCGTTTGGAATGACTGGCATGGATCTACATATCTGTATGGTAGGTGTTGAGGGATTATACCCTTACTTTTTCGCGCTTCATTAGAGAGCGCTTGCAATTCGGGGGACTGGCTAGACAAAATTAAACTATCGATACGTAAACCAAGTTTAGGTGTCAACTTTTACGTGACGCATTTTGTAGCTGCTCTGACTAAGCATCTCTTACTGAAGACGGAGCGACTCCGCGTTTTGTAGACCGGTAGGGCTGCATACGACAATCCGAGGCGAGCCTACGACAGGGAACATGCTGTTTGACAGCCTTGCCTGTGGCGCATGTGTGGCGCGCACCCTCGGAGGGAAAAAACGCCACGCCGCTTTCCCTTTTCACCAAGGGCGCACCTACCCACCAATCCAGACAGCCCTACGCATCGACTCATCTCGACCCACCATCTCTCACTCACAACAACCTTGACTCCATCCGCATAGACAGCACTCCCTACCCGCCCTCAAAACCCCACGACCTCTCCCACACGAGTACAAAAATCCCGCCAAAACTTTTCTCGCCAGCGCTCCTCACCATGGCACGTGGCGGCGGACGCAACCCAGCTTTCCTCCCCCGCGAACAGCAAGTCTCGCGCAAAGTATCCTGGCTCTTGCGGCACGGCGCGCACTCGGAGGGCCTTCAGCTCGGCAAAGGCGGGTACGTCGGCGTCGACGCGGCGCTGCGCACGCGGTGCCTGACGGCGCTCAAAGTCACGTTTCCGGAGCTGCGCGACGTCGTGAGGACGAATGACAAGCAGCGGTTTTCCATGGTGCTGAGGGAGCGGCTGGAGGGGGCTGGTAGTGAGGAGGAGGCGGAGAAGGTGGGGGGTGTTGATGTCGGAGAGGGAGAGGGAGAGGAGGAGGATCCTGGCAGGTGGGTCATCAGGGCAAATCAGGGCCACAGTATCAAGGTTGATGCCGAGGGGTTGCTTACTCCTGTCGAGGTGGAGAGGGGAAATGTGCCGGATGTGGTTGTCCATGGGACAGATGAAGGGGCGTGGAATCTCATCTTGAAGAGCGGGGGGTTGAGGCGCATGGGGAGGAATCACATCCATTTTGCGTCGGGATTGCCGGCGGGGTTCAAGGCGCTGGATGTGGGGGAGGCAATGGGGGAGGAGAAGGAGGTGCCCCCGGTGATATCGGGGATGCGGAGGTCGTCGACGGTGCTGGTGTATGTGGATATTCTAGCGGCGATGGAGAAGGGTGTAAAGTTCTTTGTCAGCGAGAATGGGGTTATTTTGACTGAGGGGGATGACAAGGGACTATTGCCTTACGAGTTCTTCAAGAGAGTGGAGAATAGGAAGAAGGGTGGGGGCGTGCTCATGAGCGAAGGTGTGCTACCGGAGGGTGTGGAGGTGGATGTGGATGCGTGGGAGAAGGAAGTCGGAAGTAGGGGCAGAAAAGGAGGCAGAGGCAGAGGCAGAGGTGGACGAGGAGGTAGAGGAGGGCAGGGAAGCGGCGGTGGGAAGGCGAGGGCGAACGATGACTCTGGCGATCTCTTAGCTGGCGTTTGAGACGTTTGCTAAGTCAGACGATGCTTCATAACATATCGGTAGCAATAACCCAAGAATACGTCTGTGCAGCGGAAAGCACGGCCATCTGGGAAAAGTCTTGAAGGGAAGTCGAAATGGCGCCTAGGACGATCAATCAATGCCTTTACCACGGAGGGGTGACTTTGTAGAATCTAGCTATCACCACCATCTCACCTATCACCAGTCTCTCCCGTGTGTCGACTTTCATCATACGGCCCTCCCTGTCGAGGGCGATGCAGTAGTCTCTTCTTCACCACCCACCCCCTCATCCCCTCGCCTCACAAAAAACCAACTCGTCCCCACCGCCGCCAAACACGCACTCAACAGCCCGATCGAGCAGATATAACTCACCCTATACGTCGGCCCAAACTTCGGCTGGTAGATCTGCGGCCCCACGATCCCCATGAGCTGGCAGCTCGCATTCGTAATGCCGATGGCGAGTCCCGCCGTCGTGGTCCCCTTCGCCGCCCGGATGCGCTCCGGCCACATGAGCGCGAAGAACGACTGCGACGCCGCAGTTGCAATCATGACGAAGATGTACTTTGCGACGGCGTTCTTGACCGTGATGAGCAGGATGTAGCAGATGATCTGCGTGAGTTCGACAGCGAGGCCGGCGATCCAGGGGGAGAGGCGGGAAGTGTGGATTAGGTAGGCGAGGGTGCAGAGGATGACGAAGACGAGGGTGAAGGGGGGCTGGGGCGTGTTAGCTTCGAGGGACGTGTGGGCAGATGAGATGGTGGGATAAACGCACCATGGTCATGACTTGGCTGATGGCGGTGTTGGAGATGCCGAGCTCGTAGATAACGGTGGGGAGGACGAAGGAGATGCCCCAACCGCCGATGCCGTGCGTGATCCAGATCATGAGGAAGGGGATGAAGGTTGGGTCTTTGAACAGTGAGACTGTTTGCGCCCGGCTGAATGTTTTGGCTTGCATGGACGGGGCCTGCTTTGGGAGGTCGTCGAGGACGGCTTGTCTTTCGGTTTCGTCCAAGAACACGACTGTCTCTGGGTAGTTTGGTAGGAAGAAGTAAGTGACGACTGAACAGAAAATCGCCGGCATTCCTTCTAGGATGAAGAGCTGGCGTAGGTTAGTCTTTGGTATCAGCAATGCGATGGACCTCAACTCCACTTACCCAGCGCCAACCGGCCAAGCCTCCAGCGCCGTTCATGAAAGATATCGCATACGCCAACAACCCACTGATCGTTCCTGAGAACATCCCGCATGCGTAGAAGAATCCAATCCTCAGTGGTAGCCTTTCAGTCCTGTACCAGAAGCTAAGGTGATACAACACTCCTGGGTAGAAGCCCGCCTCAGCAGCACCTAGAAAGAATCTGCACGCCAGTATACCAGCATAGTCCTGCGTCGCGCCCTGGCACATACTGATGATGCCCCAAGTGAGCATGATGCGCGACATCCAGACATTCGGGTTGAACTTCTTGAGAGCCAGCGTGGCGAGCGGCTCGAGGAACATGTACGGGTAGTAGAAAATTGACAGTGCCCATCCCCACTGTTGGGATGAGAGATTGCCGAGCTGGCGGCGGATTCCGTCACCCGATTCGAGGTTGATGATGGCCGAGTTGGAGATGTTGGAGACGTGGATGCGCATGATTAGGTACACAAATGCGTACCATAGGAGGAGGCGCTTGTCTACTTTGCGATGGGCAGCTTTGAGGAGTGCGTCGTCTTCATTCTGGCGTTCAATGTCGGATGGGACAGGTGAGATGGCTCTTTCCGAAGGGGGCAGTTCCTTTGACAGTTCTGGAGAGTTGGCCATGGTGATCTGGCCAGCTTTGGAGGGGGTTCCGGCTTTCTGGTACGTGACATAGAAAGCAACTAGACGGTGCCCGTGGAAAATCGTGTGATGCGGCACGAGGTTGCTGTATATCTGCCGGAGCCTCGGAGGGTCAAATGGCAACGCAGCGAGTATTTCCCACTTCAGTACGAATGCTAATGCTCCAAGCCAGCAGCTTCACTGGAGGGAAGCATGTTTATAGCGCCCATGTCCGGTACACTGCCGCAGGATGTCGGTATCAGTCGCCTCTGATTCAGAGACGCCGCATGATCTATACCAGTTCCAGCCTAAAAGCACGTTCGTCTCCGATATGCGGTATCTAGCGCCTTGATCTGGCGGGATGTTATTACCGGCATTGTGCTTTCGACGAAACATGTGTTCTCTCGTGTGGTGTTGAGGATTTAGCTGGGTGAGCACGACCTCTTGGCGGGGTATTGCGTGCTTACGACTCCGCATTGGGTACATGACATCGACATGCATATCGAAACATTGTAACTGATTCATCACGGCAAACGAAACATTTGGGCTATATATACGTCTGCACTCCGGACCCGGGAAAAGGCACTTGAGTTTTCACATCATGCCATCCGTTGCACCTGCACCACTTCCAAAATGGGAAAGACCCAATAAGACAAGCGAGAAGCTTGACTGGGCGGACATCAAAGTCATCGACCTATCCCGGTTCGACGAGCCAGGAGAGAGGCAGAGGCTGGCGGAAGATTTGAGAGATGCCGTAAGTAATGGTCAGAACTTGCCGCGAAGAGTGCGTTGTTGACATCGTATCAGGTACACAAGACAGGCTTCTTCAGCATAATAGGGACGGGATTGACCCAGGAAGAAGTAGAGCGCCAGTATGATATCGGGCAAGCATACTTCAATCTATCGCTGGAAGAGAAAGGAGACCCAAAATACCGATGTGACTTCGCCAAGGGCAATTACTTCGGGTATCGTGCGGTAAGTCAATACCATTTCTGTTATCGAATGACCTTTCTCATTTTACCTAGGCAAACGAGAAGAAAATCATGGGCACAGAAGTCCTCGACAACGTAGAGTCCGTCAATATACCCAAGTTCATCCCCTCCAACAAAGACGAGCCCTTCCAGCCCTTCCTCCAACAATATCGCTCCGAGATCGAGGCCTTCTCGCGGCGCTCCCTGGACATCGCTACTAAAGTCTTCACCCTCTTTTCCATCATCCTAGAGCTCCCAGAAGACTACTTTTCAAAACAGCATCTGTACAGCGATCCCAGCGAAGACCACCTGCGCTACATGATCTACCGCCCTCGCAGTGAAGCAGACGATGCAAAAGTGCAGAATACATGGTCTCGCGCACACACTGACTTTGGTTCGCTAACCCTGCTCTGGAGCCAGGACGTCGCGGGACTGCAGCTCAAAACTCCGACCGGGGAGTGGAAGTATGTGCCGCCAGTCGACAACGGCATCATCTGCAATGTTGGCGACACGCTCGACTTTTGGTCCGCGGGCTATCTCAAGTCGACGATACACCGCGTGGTGCGGCCGCCCGCGGACCAGGCGCACATTCACCGCTTGGGACTATTCTACTTTGTGAGGCCGGGGAATGAGGTTGATATCAAGCCTGCACCCTCGCCGTTGTTGAAGAGATTGGGGTTGGTGGGGGAAGATGCAGAAACTGCGACACCGGTACGGGGGCTGGAGTATGTGAGGGAGAGGGTCAGAAATTATCATGATCATAATGACTACGCTGACATGAAGGGGAAGAAATTCAAGGTGGGCAACTTGGAGATTGAGGATGAGGCTGCCTGAGCGGTGGGGATGGATGGGCGGAAGGAGATAGCAGAAGACGGAAGAAGAGTCACTGCAGCTAAAGTGGAAATCGAGAGCTCGTTATCATGGATTTGATTTCATTTCTTCGTCCATCGTCTAAGCACCCGGTGTACGTCTGCAAAGCGGGCGGCCCCTCTCCAAAGTGTTAGGATCACACGTCAATCGCGAGTCCTCGATACACGTCAACTGCGCGCCGCCTATTTCCAGTACATTAGCACACATCCACCCCCAACGTCAACTCATTCTCACTCACAGTTGTTAATGTTGTCCGGCACGCAACGCCCGGTCTGCCCATTGACATTGCAGACATCCTGCTTCAAGCTCGTGTTGGCGACACAGCACGCGCCGTTGGGGACGGGGCGGCCTGCGTTCTGAGGCTGGGGCGCGGCGAGCGCGAGGAGGGGGAAGAGGGTGGCGATGGCGAGGGTGAACTTCATGCTTGCGGTTGGGTGGGTATATTGCGTTAAAGGAATAGACAGCAGTGAATGTAGCGCGTAGAAAGAGTGACCGGGCCGGCGGTAGAATGTAGTATAGACAGTAGAATAGAAGAGGAGTGAGTGAGTGCGTGATGAGACTTTCTTCGTGCGGTTGGCTGTTGCCTTTATACTACGAGCTGGAAGGGAGGTGTTGAAGCCAAGCCTGGCTTGAGCATCGTGCTGGTGGCATGCACGCCTTCATCGCCGAGGCGTGTAGCAGATGCAGATCTCAGAGAGCGTTCTGAGACACCAAGACGGCGCGAGGAACCGGGCGCTAGGGTTGGTGGAGCGAAGCGAGGGTGTGGGGATGCCAAAAGAGGAAAGGCACGATACGAGCCGAGGTGTTGAGGTTGCTCTTCTGCTTGAGCATCAACATTCGCAGGTTTATGCGGTCAAATTGATTCGTTTTGCACTACACTCAGGCGCATATTTCATGCGCTTCTCGCGCCAAACAACCCTGTTTGTATAGGAGAGGGAGGCCGCTAAGGCAAGTCGATGCGAGGCGCGATGAAACTCGAGTCTTCGATGTGTGCTATAGGGAGTGTGCAGCCGAACTGATGTCAAAACGTAGCGTGAAACGTGACGTTGGCTGCGCGCTACCTCGGACAGATTTAGCGATCGAACACTTAAACGTTCGCGAATGTTGCAGGAAGCATAAGCGCACGTTCCTGAGCTGTTTTCTAATTTCTTTGGGGGTTTAAGACACAGGCAGTCTCTATTGACTAGGATGTGAAGCATCGTATTGTTGGATTGCATATTGAAATCTAGATAACGTTAAACTAGGGAACCGTGCAAGGATGTAATGATGGTCGGTGGGTGTGTAACGGGAATAGTTGTTGCAGTCAATAAACCCATTCGTTATGAAGTACAGAACCAGAGCCACCAAGCGTTTAGAGCCCCAGTAAACTTGGAAATTATCCAAGATCAGAATCGCGAACCGATTGGGCACATCAAAACCACGCAGTAGTGAAGACGTAAGGGAGGATATACATTGAAGAACATGAGCTTCGATTCCAATCGGCACTCTCTTTCCAAGATACTCACTTCCCATCACCACCAACACCATCATGCAGACTCTTCCAGCTCTTCCCCGCCGTATAATACGCCCCATCAACATGCTCCTGCACATCTGCCGGCCTCAACCACGCACACCGATCCTTCTCAAATGTTTCAATTCGCGGCTTGAACTTAGTTTCCTGGAGCTTGTAATCGTCAATGGTCCCAATCCTCGGGATGCTAGCGCCGGGGTATCCGCTACTCCGGCGGTACATGAGCGTGCCGCAGACGCTGCAGAAGCTGTTTTCCATGTAATTTCCCGTGGCAATGGTGTTGTTCTGGCGGAAGCGGGTTAGCTTCGATTCGCCGCGAACGTGCTTGAGGTGCGTGTCTTTGACGACGAAGTTGGATGCGAACATGCTGGATGGTATGGTTAGTGCGATTGGTGGGTAAGTGGGGTAGGCGACGGGACTTACCTAGCGGTGATTTTCCGGCAGTCGGTGCAGTGGCAGATGAATGTGTCTACGAGACCTTCTCCCTCGGTGGGTACTTCAATTTGCACGGCACCGCAGTAGCACGTAGCCGTGGCTGTCCCGTTCTTCTCTCCGTGCGCGCCTTCGGATGGTAGGACGATCTTCTCACTCATGTTGTTCGATATCAAGTGACTTGTGATAGAGGCGAGTCGTTGAGCTGTTTGAAATGTTGGATTGTGATTCGAGTTGTTTGTGGAGTGCAAACTTCTAAGATCTTTATGGAGCCTGTGTACTTACTCATGTCGGGCCAAAGGACACTGCGCAGATTCAGATCACTATTTCTACCACACTTTGTATTAAGATGGGTGGTAAACTACTTGAGCGGAATGCGTGTCTAGGGCTCCTATTTGTCGGCAATAGACTGGCTTATTGAGATTGGAAGCAGTGTGATGTTACCTCGGTACAGCTTACTGGCACGGGCTTATCTCCGACTCCGCTACAAGCACCAACTCTAGACTCAGAGCGCCAATACCTACAATGTGTGTTATTAGGCTTGTTTGCAAGCGAGTCTTCGCGCAGGAATGCTTGGTGGCTGTGACCTTGTGTTTCGAGACAGACTAGGACTTATATCGACTGCGCAGCAATATATTTTTGGATATTGCACATTGAAGTCTAAGTAAGCGACACAAAAAAGTTTCATGATAAATAGTCGGTGGGTTTGTAACAGAATGGATATAAATCAGGTCCATAAACGCCGTCCATCGCATACAGTCAGTCCACAGCTCTAAGTAACGCCCGACGCCCCAAGACCACCAGTCACATATCTACTTCTCCTTCTTTTCCTTCCCTCCCACCTTTGCTTCCAGGCCCTTCTTCTTATCAATCAGCGCCCTCTGTGTCTTCTCCGAGTTGTTCTTCTTCAGGTCAAGGCCCACGTCGTGGATCTCCAACTTCCAATTGGCGATCTTCAGGGCATTCTTAGCCTTCTTCAATGTCTTCTCCGCATAAGCATGCTCCTTTGTGCCTTCCTTGGTATCTTCTAAGCCTTTCTCGGCTTTCTTTTTGTCGGCCTCGAGGGTTCTGATGTCATGGACGAGTGATTCCCGCTTCTTGTCTGTTTGTGTTAGTGGGGTAGCAACATACGGCTTAACACACAAAGAGACTCACCAGAAGGCTTGGCCAAGCCATGGATTTTCTGCTCATTCATCAGATTCGGAGGGTTTAGCAGCTTCTCCTTTTGGATGGACCGCGTGCCAATCACAAGATCAACATCCGCCGTCTCTGAGACAAGGAAGCGCATATTGTTGAACACCTTTGGGCTCGTCTCTGAGAACCATGACACACGTATACAACCCAACACCTTATGTGTATGACCTGTGGCAACCATGCCGCCGTTTTCTTCCCTGGGTGTCAGCGGCAGGTAGTCGGAATCGCTGAACCCAAGACGCTGCGCAAGCTTTGTAGAGATAATGTTCCCTTGAGAACACCCAGTATCGAGGACACATCGTACTGGAATGAACTCGCGGCCCTCGCGTTTGTAGGCAGATACTATGAGTTTATACCAGTTCTCCCCTTCATCGAAGAACTGTATGTGTCAACAGTTGCAGTTGGATTCATGAAAAAGAAACCAGCATACCTCTGCGTGAGAGCCTTCGACCTCAGCCCACTCAACAGTAGCCGCCAGATGTCTCTTCAAGTTTTTCGTGCCAAAAATAGTGGCCTTAAAGACATCCCACCACGAAACTTTCACCAGGGCAACATGAGTACCGCGTCTTTGGACAGGTGCTCGCCTGACTGCGAAGTCTGGATTTTCGTCCACGATAGTCTGCGCTGAGACCGAAGATGCTCGGCCTTTAGGCACGGCTAGATTCTCAAAGTCCACGGAGACGTTCTTCCTTTGCTCTGTAAAGGTTGTGTAGTTAGCGGTGCCCGGACCGAGATGTAGTACATGTCAGAGTTTGGACCGTGAATGGGGCATACTAAGGTGGTACACGCCGCATTACGGCGTCCAGATGTAACTCACTGGAAGTTGTAGTCTGACTCATATTGGCTGTCAGCTCTGGTTCGTTGCTGGGATGTCTGGCAGTATTCGTGTCGAACTCGAGGAAGGTCGAGGGTATAAAATTGGAGGGCTAAACTGGACCTCTTCTCGTTTTTTATGAATCATCGCACGATAAGGCAACGAACTTACTATAGCAATTTTCCAGGGGCCATTTTGAGCCTCATAGCAGCGCAGGCCAGGACTCTAGTCACCGGTCTGGCGCAGCACTGACGGGTTGGTGGAGGCCGTGCACTCAGCGGTTCTTATCAAGTAGGCAAAGTATTGAATTTGGGGGCAGGATTCGACCACGCAGACGCTGGCGTCGCCCTCCATCAGCGTGTCAGGTGCTGATACCCTGGCCGCCATCGATGGTTGGGGGTCGATTGTGGCGAGTGATCCGTTGGCTGAGCGCCCGCTGGGGTCAATTTGAGCACGGTGCGCGGCAGTGCCAGGTTCCCATCCCTGATACCTGATCACGCTGTACTGAGCTGCGCGCCTGTGGCATAAGAAGGTCCTTCCATCTTTTACTGTTAACTTCCCCTACTTTTCCATCGTCTGCCTTCTCTGACTCCGTGGCGTCTCGCAAAAGAGTGTGTTGAAGCGTTGCGTGTCTCCCTCGGCCCCCACTGTCGCTTCCGCACCGCACAATCCGGCGGGCCAAAACATGGCCGTAATGCTATCACGTAGCAGCCATTCGCGCTGGGCATGAAAACCTTCGACGATAGCGAGTGGCTTCGATAGTCCGGAAACAACCTTTTGTTTAGATCGATCTAGGGAGGGAGAACCAACGACGAAAGACTGTTCGCGTATGCGATGGATTCCTCTTCCTCTCATCAGGATGTACTCGAACTTGTCGCGAAACTACTGTGAGGTCGCTTCAGCTCATCATTGATTCGGTGGAGCTTCGCAGCCTCAGGCAGGGAACTGGTGGAGGCTGCATGAACAGGTTGGGGTGGTCAGCTTTCTAGCGTGAGGCTGCAGAGTCGGCAAATGAAGGCGCAAACATTTTCTGATCGGTGCGGCCAGCCTTGTGTCGTTGCCTAATCACAGGTTTCGGCCATCGCCGACATGGCAGCTGAAGACTGGGTTTGTCAAGGTGGGGTAAATCCGCAGCGTCGATGTGCTGACTATGGCAACTGAAACCCTGCCCTTCATGGGCTAGCAATCGAGTGAGCGTAGCCTGTAAACTTCGAACAGATCACCCAAGACGATTGTCTCTTGCAAAAGAGCGACAATTGATAGCGATAACCTCATGATACGGCGAGAATTGCTCAGCTACACGACCGTCGGCAGTGGTGCTGGCGGATGTTCGCGCTATGCAACGTCAGTTGCGAAAGAAATCTAGAGACCAGGTTGTGGACGAAAGACAAGGTGCGACGTGGGAAGCGTTGAGTAACTGATAGCTTCGAGAAAACAATTTGGATAGGCACCCGACTTATGCCTCTGGGTCCTCGCGGAAAGCCGGAGCCAGAGCTGCGCACACTTGTTCACGAAGTCGGCGGTGTGCATGCACGTTAGACTGACCTTGCATAGCGGATGCTCACGCGTCGCTGTTGGCAGCATCTAAATGGACGCGAGACCTGCAGGACCTGTCCATGATAGGCCGGAACGGGGCAGATGCATTGCTTGCCTCAGGAGGAAAAATGAAGCTGCGCCTCAGCTCCTCGCCTCCCGAAATGCCCTCGAAATATAAGCCGCAAGCCGACTTTCGCAGCTGTTGAAGCTTTATCAAATGGTGTCGGAGTACGTTCATCGCCAGATGAGTTTAGAGCTGCAGGAGATGGACAGCCGCCCTTCGACCTCAGATCGGGCGCCCAGCACTCCAGGCACAGCGACGGCCATAAATACCCCCGATCAGGATCAGTTCCCGCAACATGCTACTCAGCCAGACACCGTCAGTCTTAGCTCTGACCTCGAATCCATATCGAGCGACAGCGAAAATGAAGGAGATGAAGATGGCATCCGCACTGTGAAAGGCAAGCTGCCTGACGATGCAGTAGAAGGATGGCCACAGTTGGCTCAGTTGATGGCAGACCAACCAGAGTTTGCAGCTTTTCCTCGATTTCGTGACCTAAACGTCAAGAGTTTGCTGTACTATCAAGTCGAGCTTAATAGCCTACGAAAGAAACTCCACAGGCTGGAACATGCCGATAAAGCTCACCCACGGAACCAGGATTATTCACTGTACGCTGACACTCTGGTCAACGAATCGAACGCCTCAGAGCAGCTCAAGACCATGAAAACCATCCGTGGGGTACTGAAAGAGTACAGTGAGTTTCAAAGACTTTCACCATTTTTCGTCGGACCGAGCTAATTGTTATCTAGACGAGGCTTTGCTGCAGTACTCAAAGGTGTGCGCACTGCCAGACCCCGAGCCGTTCAATATGCGCACACTTCGTGGATGGTTGCGCCATGAACATGGTGGCAACCTCAATGTCCAAGACCTCGACGATGGCGGGCCAGTGAATACATGGGGTCTGCTGAAAAATAACCCGGACGATGAAGAGAAGAGCCTCGGGTCACAATTCCGCAGTCTTCTCTGCAGCCTGTTATGGATGCGCCGGCCAGAAAAGAGTATGCATGAGCCAGACTTGGCTCTCACTGCACCTCAAATACAGGTTGACGGCTTGACACATTGGTATGCGTCCGAGTTAATCCCGTTCCGTAGATCTCTCAGTTCGTGGAAGGAGCGAAAGAAAATGAACGTTACCCCAGATCTCGAAAACACTGCCAGCCAAGATACTGGGCAAGATTACAGGGTTCAAACAACACCACCTTGGCCGAAGAAGACGAAGAAAGAGGACACATTGGTTTCGTGGTCAGAGAACAGTGCCTTGAGGCTGACCTCCGGAATCTCAACCGTGGTCGCATGCCTCTTACCGGTCATTGCGATCTCCGTCTTGTCGCAACTACAGGGTTTAAAGGCGCTTCTCATTTGTCTCGCTGGATTCTCACTCGTCTTCGCTATCGGTCTGATTGCTTTGACGCAAGGTACCAGCAAGAGGACAGAAATATTCGGTGCTACTGCAGCGTGAGTGTGTACTTACTGAACTTCGATTGCGTCAGCTAACACCCTTCCAGATTCTCAGCGGTCATGGTGGTGTTCATTTCGATCCCGCCGGCGCCTGTCATTATGATGCCTCCAGGCTCCGCTATACCGTCAGTGTCCCCGAGCGCAGTCATCTCGGCGCTGCCCACTGGATGATGGATGTGTGCTCATGGGTCGTTGTGCGCCTATTCAATGAAAATACATTGTTGCAGTTCAGACAGCCGCAGTGAAGTGAGGTCCGAGCCTGCGTTTGGCGTGACGGGGTTGCACCTACCCTCTGTTGCTGAGGCAGTCGCGCTTCGTACTTTCCGTGGCTGTTAAAGACGCCTATCATGAGGAGAAGTGCTGTGACCCATGACCAACAGCCAAGGAGATTGAGGTGCAGGCTTTGTTTGAGTCCACTGGTTAGAGAAGACTGTAGTGCGAAGCTGTCGATACGGAGCGCTCACTGTGGCAGTGCGCAGCTCTGCGCAGGTATGCAACGAAACACGAGAAGGTAAGCAGCATAGCCGCACAAACCCTCGCAGAGCAATCGTTCGTCACACACGCGTTCGTGTAGACATTAGACTCTCGTATCTAGTCAGGTACAGCCACATCTCGGGATGCGACTTCTTTTGTGAAAGTACATAGCCACAAGACGGAGATATGCACGTGAACCAGGCCAAGAAACACATGTTCTGCGGCTTCACGCCAGACAGTGGGGGACCTCCATCAGCATCGCCTAGTCGCACTGCAGACCATGACGCGATCCGTTCGATCGTCGAACGAGATCCTTGGAGATTCAGCCCAGGTCCCGACGGGCGTCATCCAGGTATCGATGCCGACGAAGTGGGAACACGAAGTGCCAAGGCTCGTATCGCTGTTCGTAACTGCTGGTGCACGTGGCTGTGATGACGGGTTGTTGAGCTGGGGATGGCACAATGTGGCTCGCGTACCTTGATAAGCCTCCCAGAGTGAGAGAGGTTAGCCCGCCTGCTCCTCGATCGTGTTCGAAGCCAAGCGAGCTCCCAGGTCACTGGCAATAACCTTTAACGCCTTTTTCTGCACATTGACGCGGCTGTTGGCTCCCCCAATCTTGCAGCCCAAGACCCAAAAGGGATCTAAGACAGGACTATACCAGCCCATGAACCAGCCTTGCATGCCAATACTGGATCTGGCTGCGGGGAGCCATCCGTGTCATGATGTCCATATCCAAGAAATCCTCTCTTAGGGTTAGCTTGTTCGGCAGGACGCCTGGCCTCCACTGCTGGCACTGGAAGAATCCGTGGACCTGTTCCTTTGAGGATGCCATTGGCCTCGAAAGAATCTTGCGGTGAGCGTCATTGACCGGTCGCCAGTTCCGACATCAAACCTAGGACTATCATAGCAGTCATACAGATTGCTGAGCGACAGAGGGCTAGACATTCTGAAGCGACCCCGCAAAATGGCTTTGGCCCTACCAAGTTCGTACCATGAGTGCAGAGAGTCGTCCAGGGCCCGGTTCCTGTACGGGAACTCAAGCCTGGGTCCGCCGGGGGATTTGGGGGCCAGCATACGCTGCTTCGTGAAGTCGACTGGGGCGGCCACGTTTTATTCTCTCGAGGCCGTCGGCGCAAAGGTCGCAGCAGGTATAACGTCAGCCGTTCGTGGTGGTCGTGTGTCCACCAGGTCCATTGGCGGATGTGGAGGGCTCGGAGGCCAGGCGCGTGGTGGCCAGGGGTGCGCAGGCTGCTCTGTCGGGCTTGGTCCCTGAGGCTTGCGCTGGCTGCACTGCTGCACGATGCTGGTCTATGATGTATGTGCGTAGACACAGACAGCGGCCAACGTCAGACGCAGCATCCCCTTTCCAGCACATGCTTCATCAGCCCGGGCGCTCGAATAAGAGGCGTCTACGTTGCGGGCGCCTTTTGAAACAGGCAAATCCACCCAGCGCTTGCGAAAGTGTGCCCACTGCCCTCGAGCCATTCAAGCGGGGTGCACAGCGCCTGCGCCGCATCGCAACACGCCTTTCCCCCAGCGTCTTCTGAGGCTCTCGCGCCCTCGATCGTCTCCCTTCGTCACGCTCGTTTGTGCCTCTCTCCGACGCCGCGCCGCGCATTGCATCCCTCTGTGATTCACGTGCGCCGTCTCTGTCACAGGCTGTTCTCCTCCCGGCAAGCCTCGTCACCCGCACGCGCCATCCCCTCTGCCTCCACCACCACTTCTCGACGCCCCTCCCCAGGCAGCTGTTCTGAAACCCAGTGCCGCACTCGAGTCGCCTCCGCTGCGTTTGCTCGCCTGCCCACAGCGGCCTTGAAGCTGCACCCAGCCGCCCACCGCACCTGCATCCTCCCGCACCCGCCCACGTCACTCGACCGCCTGGAAGCAGGCGCTCGGCGGCACTACCACGGCACAGCAGCGGCACACGCAACACGACGCACACTGTTTGCGTTGCTGCCACGCCCGGCGTCTTGTAGAATAGCGTGAACCGAGGGAGAGTCGGTCTGCACCGTTCGGCTGACGGCAGCTATCCGCCCCGCTGGGTCCAGCATCACTCGACGTGCAACCTCAACTCCCACAAAGCCGCCCCTCGTTGTCGTCCCGCCCGCTGCCAGCTGCAACGCCACACACGCTCCGTTCCCCTGCAACGGCCCTAACTTCACTGTGTCGCGGGCCGCACCTACCCGCGTCTCGCCCGACTGTCCGAGCTACCCTTCGCGCTGCGTGAAGGCGCACCTCTGAAGATACCTATATGCAACCCCTCGCACACCCAGACACGCACTCGTCACCCGCGAGCCAGCCCACCATGTCGTCCCCCGCACCCCTCCTGCGGCCACCGATTCCTGGCGCCCGCTCGCAAGGTGGCGCCCGTACACCTCGACTCGGCCTCTCGATACCTCCGTCGCCGCATGCACGGCCTGTGACAAACGGCGCACCTGAGGGCCTGACTCTCAGACCCGCCCCTCCCAAGCTACATCTGTCGACGCCCATGGGTACCAGCCAGACCCCGCACGAAGGCCGTGCACAGCCCAGGGGACTTCCACCACTGCAGATCGGTACTGGTCTTTCGCCAGCGGGAGGCTCCAGCGATGCAAGTGCACATTCAAGATCTGGGAGCTTTGGCGAGGTCCAGGCGAACGGTTCGGCCTCGTCGTACAATGGCGCTCTTGGCTTCCTGCACAGGGGCTCGGATCCAATCTCAGCAATATCCCAGGGTGGCAGTGATAGCGCTCCGTCGATGGAGAGGGAGAACAGCAGCCAGCCACTGCCCGACCTGGAGAAATTGGCTGCCGAGAAGGGGGCGCCACTTGATGTGGATGATCTGGATGACCTGGGCTTCAAAGCAGCCTCCGCGAAAGGCTTAATCGAGGAGAAGGATAACTTGGGTGAGGGAGCTGGAGGAGCAGTGACTAAGTGTGTTCTCAGGGGTGGAACCAAGGTGTTTGCTCTCAAGGTCGGTTTTACGTTGCTACTATGTTGCCTTGGCTAACTCGCATCAGATCATCACAACAAACCCAGACCCAGATGTCAAGAAGCAGATCGTGCGCGAGCTCAACTTCAACCGAGAATGCGCAAGTGACCATATCTGCAAATACTATGGCGCCTTTGTGGATGACAGCACCGGGACCATCAGCATCGCCATGGAGTTTTGCGAAGGTGGATCTCTGGATTCCGTGTACCGTGAAGTCAAGAAACTGGGTGGTCGAACTGGTGAGAAGGTGCTCGGCAAGGTGGCAGAAGGCGTTCTGAACGGCCTCACCTACCTCCACGCGCGCCGTATCATCCACCGCGACATCAAGCCGAGCAACATCCTCCTTTGCCGGAACGGACAAGTTAAGTTGTGCGATTTTGGTGTTTCCGGCGAGTTCGGCACCAAGGGAGATGCCAACACCTTCATCGGAACATCATACTACATGGCCCCTGAACGAATTACTGGGCAGAGCTACACCATCACCAGTGATGTTTGGAGCCTCGGCGTCACATTGCTAGAGGTCGCGCAACACCGATTCCCGTTCCCTGCGGATGGCACTGAGATGAACCCCCGCGCTGGCCTCATTGATTTGCTTACCTACATTGTGCGACAGCCGATCCCGAAGCTCAAAGACGAGCCAGAGAATGGCATTCGATGGTCCGAAAACTTTAAATACTTTATTGAGTGCTGGTAGGTTCTATTCTGTCGACATGACTGTACACTGCTGATCTGGAACAGTCTCGAGAAGGAGCCTCCTCGGCGAGCCTCACCATGGCGCATGCTAGACCACCCCTGGATGCTCGAAATGAAGACGAAGAAAGTCAACATGGCCCACTTCTTGAAGCAAGTGTGGGATTGGAAGGATTAGACTCGTTTCACGATTTAGCGATTTTCGATTCAGCGGGCGACTCTTCTGCAACCATGTTCTACCCTTTTTGGGAACCATATCCAGGGTCGTGTGCTGGGCATAGACTACGGCGAGATGGCATATTTTGGGACACTTTGGAGGAGGAAAGCATCATCACCGGCATGCATGGAGTGTTTGGTCGGAGTTTCAGCACGGCTTAATGGATTGCTCACAGGCATTGAATGAGACGGGGGTTGGATTGCTGGAGGCAGATCATGATGGATCGCGGTGCGCCGGCTGGCATAGGCGGGCGTCATTTGTCCTGTCACGTCGACTAGCATGTTCTGGATGCAGGATACCCAATACATACAAAGTACGATTCAGTCATGGCACAAACTCATTCCATTTCGGATGTGACGAACTTGATCATGGTGGGGCACGCCGGAACAACGTTGGCCCGCTTCCACTTTCCGACAACCAATGGCTCTCGGAATTGAGTCAGAAGAGGGCGACTGAGTCAACTTTTGTGCTCCGCCGCAGAACGCTTTGGCGTGTTGAACCTAGCTCGAGGCTTCTCTCACCACCCCCAATCATTCCCCAGCCCCGCGATTGCGCCCATTGCGACTTCTTCACTTGCCCCGCCACGATCCCGCCCCGCGCATAGCGACAGCGCACGCCCGCCATGCCGACCATTACCGTGGACAAAGCGGCCCTCTTCAAAGAACTAGAGAGAGAATATACCACAGAGGAGTTTGACGAGCTATGCTTCGAGTTCGGAATCGAGCTGGACGAGGACACGAGCCAGAGCACAAAGCCTGAGGACCAGGCGCAGCCACCGCAGCTCAAGATCGAGATACCCGCCAACCGATATGACATGCTGTGCTTCGAGGGCATAGCGCTGAACCTGAGGGTTTTCTTGGAGAAGCAACAGCTGCCCAAGTGGGCGCTTTCTCCGGCCCAGTCTGGCGAGCTCGAAACACTCACAGTGAAGGAGGAGGTGCGTCGATCGGATTGGACCATACATGGCATGGCAGGCTGACTCTGGCGCAGACCACGCAGATTCGGCCCCTGGTCTCCGGCGTTGTGTTACGGAACATCAAGTTCACCCAAGAGCGCTATGACTCGTTCATCGGATTGCAGGACAAGCTCCACCAGAATCTTGCGCGGCAGAGGACGTTGGTGTCCATTGGAACACACGATCTCGACAGTATGTTGGTGCAAGAACGCATAGAGAACCATCGCTGAGGATTGCAGCTATCAAGGGCCCCTTCACATACGAAGCTCTCAAGCCGGAAGAGATCAAGTTCGTTCCTTTGAACCAGACTAAGGAGCTCAACGGAAAGGAGCTCATGGAGTTCTACGATGTGCGTCGGTCCTTCGAGCGCTTGAACTAGCTGACCCAGAGTAGAAAGACAAGCATCTTGGCCGCTACCTGCACATCATCCGCGACTCGCCAGTCTACCCCGTGATTTACGACTCCAACCGCACCGTCCTCTCGCTCCCGCCCATCATAAACGGGGACCACAGCAAGATCACGCTCGACACGAAGAATGTGCTCATCGAAATCACTGCGTTGGACAAGACCAAGGTGGAGATTGTCAACCACATACTCGTCGCCATGTTCGCTGGCTACGCAGAGTCAATAGAGCCGCTCAAGATTGTCTCGCCGCACAACAACGAGTCAAGAGAGTCGCCAGACCTGGCACCGCGAATGTTCCCCGCTGAGGTCGACTACCTGAACCAGGTCACCGGACTTGATCTTGCACCGGAGGAGATTGCAAAACTTCTCGCGAAGATGGGCTACGACGTAAAGAGGTCAAGCTCCGACAAGAACATCCTGGACGTCGCTGTGCCCATTACCAGGGCAGATGTGCTGCACCAAGCCGACATCATGGAGGACTATGCCATCGCATACGGCTTCAACAAGCTCCCCCGCTTCTACCCCAACAAGTCCTCCGCCGTCGCAGCGCCCCTCCCCATCAACAAGCTCGCCGACATCGTGCGCCTGGAATCTGCATCAGCAGGCTGGACAGAAGTCCTGCCGCTCATTCTGTGTTCACACGAAGAGAACTTCGAGTGGCTCAACCGCAAAGACGACGGCACCACCGCTATCAAGCTCGCCAACCCCAAGACGGCAGAATATCAGCTCGTCCGCACGTCGTTGCTTCCGGGTCTCCTCAAGACGATCAACTCCAACAGGCATCACGCAGTACCTATCAAGGTCTTCGAAGTCAGCGATGTCGGCTTCAAGGACGAGTCGCAGGAGCGAAAGACCAGAAATGAGAGACATTTCGGTGCGGCAATCATGGGGAAGACGAGTGGGTTCGAGCAGGTACATGGACTGCTGGATCGGTTGATGCTGATGCTGAGGTCCGTTTTCATCACGAGAGAAGACGGGTTGAAGAATGCTCAGCTGGGTGGGTATTGGATTGAGGAGGTTGATGGTGAGTTGAATCATATCGACGAAGAAGAGAATAACGTGCTGACAGATACAGATCCAACGTTCCTCAAGGGTCATTCCGCTGCTATCAAGCTCAACATCGATGGGCAAAACCACACCATTGGTGTTTTCGGCATTCTACATCCTTCCGTCCTGAAGGCCTTTGATCTGCCGTACCCCGTCAGTACCATTGAGTTCAACCTCGAGGTCTTTATGTAGATGGTGTTGGAAAGCTGAGCGCACACATGCAATTGAGCGTCGTGCACGTACGATAGAGATACCTCGTCCGCCTGCGGATCAAAATGAAACTTCGCCGACAGCATCAAAATCACTCATTTCAGCTTACGCGTCAGTGTAGCCGTATGATGTAGCTTGAGACAATTCAGGCAATTATACATTTCCGAACCATAGCTAACAGAGCATCGGAGGTCTCCATGTTTACAGCAGCCTTGACTATCGGCCGACATTTCATTTAAATACTACTGATGCAATTGTCTGTGAACGCTCTCGTACACAGAGCGGTGAAAGAAATAAAAATTGACCGCCATGGTAAATAGTCAGAGGACGGCCGCGATCGCGACGTGCGTCGACCAGATCCGATCGGGCGACAAGAATGCGTTGCGCCTACTTACTATTGTATACATCGTCTGTAATGCACGAGCGTACAATCAAGTTAGCTAAAAATTAAGGAAATATGCATTACCATGTGCTCGCGCGAAGCATCCCAAGAGCCCAAGGAACTATTTCAAGAGCACAACACCCAGGCACTGCTCAGAAGCAAACAGCAAAAACATACAACAGCGGGGATTCGCTGCTGGTCACCCACGCAACTACTGATCCGCCGGTACACTGCTTATATATGGCTGAGCGGACGGGAAGCCTAGTTTTCAGTGTCCTATGGTCGTATGTGAGAGACCATGGTCAAAGTAAAATACATATCCTAGATAAAATATGCTATAAGAGCTAGAAGTCGCCCCCGAAACTCAAGTTCACGTACGCAACAGGGCTTCACTAATGGCTCTTTATGTATTGCTAGATCTGCGTGGCTGATACCCGTATATATAGTCCTGCTCCGGATAACTGCGGTAGCTAATCTTTGAAAACCTTCTTTTAGTGTTTACCAAGTTCTAACTATATCACTATTTCTTCTTAATAAGTAAACTCCGTTCTCGAAAATGATATTTTGTATACTTCTGAGAATACAGATAAGTAAAGACCATGCTGAGACCCGCTTTCAATTTATCTCCATCAAGGCCCTAGTGGTCAACCAGTCTCCATTCAGAGGGAAAATGAGCTTGCTGTCACATATACTTGCGCTGTAGGTGTAAGACCCACAACAACAGATCGGCTTTGACTGAGAATCAGGCTTTTTCAGGTGGCTTTTCCGATCCAATTCTTGCTGAACAACCTCCTGCATGCTCGAGTACTGGTAGTCTTCGCAGCAGTAGATAAGCAGCACAACTCCTCACCCTGTGGACACTGACAGGCACTGATCCACCCGAGAGAAAAGGTCTCGTAGAGCTCCCGCATTTCCAGCGTGTTGAAGGCATTGCTCTCGACCTGTCGACCCAATACTTGGAATGCAGGTCCATGTCCCCAGTAGCTGCTGTAGGTATGCCGCTTGCCCTGGTATTCCACCTGCTCAAATAATTGGACATTGCGTACATACAGATAGGAACATAGCTGCTTCTGGCTCTCAGTGGCGTTCTTGTAGTCCCCACCACAGATGTAATAACCCAAGAGTTGGTGTAGTTGTTCATGGAGAATGGTGCTAAGGACATCGCCAATGAGGCGATTCACCCTTGCATGCAGCAGCTTATACTTGACTGGGCCTGGGTGCATCGGGTGGCCCAGCGCTGTTATATAGATGCGATTTAGATATCCTCCTTTTTCGTATCCGAACAGTAGTCACAGAGCTCTGTCTGCAATTTACCCTGACGATTGTGGGTCACCCACTCGTAAGTGCATGTTTCGCGATTGCAGCCCTGGAAGAAAAGAGTATCGAGAGCGTTGCCGAGTGTGGCAAGATCCGGGAGGTATTCCAGCTCCTTTTTCCGTTGAACAGATCGTTCAGCTCTTTACGAGACTCGTCATTTCCCGTAGAGCCTGTTCCTGCAAAGGAGACAGAGAGCTATCATCGAGGGTGTTCAGCCGCATCACCATGAACCTCAACACAGCTCGGATATCACAGCCCTTCTGTAGGACTTCGTGCGGCCACGTATACCCGCGCGAATCCTCAATAAGCGGATTGAAATGGCTCATATGCTCAGGGAGTAACTCCCATAGCTTGGGAACACAGTTCCAGCAGACGCAATGCTCGTGGGGAGTATTCGAAGTTAGGCCGTCAGGAATTTCGTTGCTATACTCGACGGGAAACTTAGCTTGGGCAGCTCGTTGGCTCCAGGATTGGCTGTCCGAAGCCTCTATGTCGTACGTTTGTGATCGAAATGGGATGTTCTACAAGTGTTGTTTAATCTGAAGCTTTGTGGTTGCGCTTCTGAGTGATATTTTATCAATGAAATTACCAGGTGCATGTGTAAGTTAAACAACCTATCACTATATCGAAAGCCTTGATCATTGGGTCTGTGAAAGACATTGTTCACCCGGACATTGTTGAATTTCGAAATGAAGCTCTGTTAACTCGGCTCTAGGTCAACAATATGTGTGGAACAATTTACAGGGGCCTCAGTAGATATTGGGCACATCTAAACGGCATTGAAAGGCGTCAATGCAGATTAGAGAAGTTGATAAGGTAGTAACATTGCAAGTTGCTATCCCTATAATAAGTTATACTGGCCTCACACCCGTTTTTTGCATGTCGCAATGAGATGCGAAACATCGGCCGTTCTTGCGGTTGTGTTGTCAGATAATCGTTTGATTGGTACCTATCTTGAAGCTTATTAGACCGAGACGCAGACTCTAGATTACTATCTGGTCAGTGAAGTAAGCTCGCAATGGTCCATGGATTGTGTTGCTATATAATTAAGTTACAATCTATGTATTGAGGTTCTGCTATATACATAAACTGATGGAAGAAATTTCGAAGCTTACCTTGTGAGCTCTGATGAAGAGATCTATGCAGAATCCGTTGCCATTTCATTCACTATGGCCATGGTACATAAGCCTTCACTACACACGTTACCTATTACATTTCCTACCTCCATACACCACGTTGAAATCTCTTTCCAGGTCAAGACCAAACTCAAGGCGCAAAGGTCATCTCAATCGCGAATTGAATCAACATATACGGTATCGAAATGGGGCAAAGAATTTCAGCTGGTACTACGGAGCCATCAGGAGAGACTAAGCAAAACTGGAACTGGTACTGGCACGTTCCTCTTGCGATCTCAACGCATCGAACTGTCTCCCGTAAAAGGACTTTTTCCATAGTCAATACTTCAGCGAAACAGGCAGCAGGGAAGGCACGCATGCGTGCACTGTCGAAGGAGCTGGACAATAATGTGGCCAAGGCACACGCCACGTCTAGATCCCTTCCACACTGGCAGTGTAAGCTGCTCCAGGAGTTCCACACCGCGCCACGAGTGCGATACTCCTGGGATACAGTTACTGTGCTCCGCAACGCCACAGCAAGGGAAGCGGCGAATAAGGCACAACAGAGATGGAGTGGCGTCTCCAGCAAAGCGAACATCCAAATTCGTTTTAGCAAAGACGTCAGGAATGCCTCCAAGACGAGTGTGAAATAATCGCGCATCCTGGTCCGTCAATTCGCTGAGTTCTTGCGTCTTCTAGAGAACAGTGGATTCGCAGATTGCCATCTAGTTTCCCATCCGTCGGCAGAACTCTTGTCCAGCATTGAGAGCACGTTGCGTTCCGAGGGTCCGCATTCCGAGGAGCTGAAAGATTTAATCGTTCAGCGCAGTCGATACATGGTCCAGCTTCGGACTAGCCAGCTTGCGGATTGATTCCTGGTGCAATACCGTCCGGTTCGACCACTTAGTTTCGCTGAGAGCCCGTCGGCGCATGAAGCAGCCTGCGATGGTACTGTGGAAAATATCTCCCGCTTTGAAACAATCAATGAGGCCATTCGGGCGGCACTTCAGGTAGGCCGTGATGAGAGAAAGGTAGTCGAGGATCAAGCGCGGGTCCAGAACGCCATTGACAAGAAGCGGAGCAAGGTCAGGGAATGCCATCCTGAGCGGTACCAGCCACCGCTCAAGAAAATGGGATTTCATGAACCCTCGAGTCTCTTCTAGGATATATGCCACTTTCAAGATCACCACGCGGGTGGTGATTTGCCGGAGACTGGCGCACAGCGACCAGTCCCGCAATTCTCTCATTGAGTCACGACTTTTCAACGAAGATGACCAACGCCCGACCGCTACCCTCCAGTCAGCTAACATGGCTCTATTTCAGAAATTCCCAAAGGAGCAGCGCGCAAAGATTCGTATGACTTTGCAGACCACTCAAGGGTTCTGGGGAGATCACGCCAACAGTGGCTTATGAAGACCAATCGGATCCTAAAATTCCCCCAGAGGTCATTCTAGGAAAGGATCTCTTCTTCCAAGAGCAGTGGTCCCGCGTGGCGACGCTCTCCATTACCTGGTGGAGCCAAGCAGCAAGCATGCTACCAAGAAACGCCTTCTGGACGGCTCCTGGGTTCTCGTAGATTTGGCGCTACCGGTGGATTCGTTAGAAGGGGATTGAGACGATATACTTTGATCAGAAGCTAGTATGGTGGGAGTTTTGGGAGGCCCCTCAGTAACAAAACATTGATTCCTGAGGCTAGCGTTCATCCATCTAGATTTTCAGGATGATAACTCATCCTTCGTACACACTGTAGACTGACTGCTGAGATTGTTGTTAGTCTGCTCGAATGTTGAGTCGTACAGTATCCCTTTCTTGCTGCTGCGGTTTTGGAATGAATCTTACTTATTCTTTATGCTATCGTTGTTCTTCATGCATTGATGATCTCCTTGAGTGCCTCCACGCTCTTCTTCAGCTTCGTCTTCTCCTCTTCGTTAAGCCCCACCTCAATCGTCCTGACCAGACCTTGCCGCCCAATCACCGCCGGTATGCTCAGGCACACACCCAAATCCTCCTGGTAATGGCTCACCGGTCTGATGTTCCTCTGATCAGACAGTATACTCTTGCAAATACTTGCAGTCACAGCGCCAATGCCATAGTTCGTCGCACCCTTGTTCTCAATGATGCTGGTGGCCTTGTTCTTCGTATCTTCTGCAATGGCGGCTTTGTCCAGTTTGGTGTTTGGCAGGAGTGTCTGTTCGAGAGGCACGCCGCCGATCGATGCGGCGCTCCAGGCTACGAATTGTGACTCGCCGTGTTCGCCGAGGACGTAGGCGTCGATGCTGGATGCGGAAACCTCAGCCTTCGCTGCGAGAACACCGCGCAAACGCGCACTATCGAGGAAGGTACCAGAGCCGATGACTTGCGACTTAGGAAGGTTAGAGTACTTCTGTGCGAAGTAGGTGATCACATCGACAGGGTTGGCAACGAGCAGAAGGATTGTGTGTTTTGCAAACGGCTGCATGTCAGATATTGCGGATTCGAGAATCGATTTATTACGGCCGATTAGGTCGGCGCGTGATTCGCCTGGACATTCTTAGCTGCCGGTCGTAGGATTATGTGCGTGTAATATACCTTTCTTCTGTTTCGCGCCGGCAGTAAAGACGATGATGTCGCATTGTCCTGCCTCTTTGTGGGTGCCTGCCCGTATCTGTGTGCTCGTGTCGCCGTGAAATGTAGCATCCGATAAATCTTGAATCTGCGCGTCTCTGACTTCCTCCTTGGGATCGACCATCAGAATATCGCCGGCGACGGGGTTCATGATGAGAGAGAAGGCAATCGTAGCACCGACATCGCCGGCGCCTACAATGGCGATCGAAGAGCTGAGTTTGGAGTCTGGCATATTGGTGGCTGTTGTGAGTGTTTGGGAAGAAGGAACGGCAATAGTCAGAGGATACAGGCGTATATGTCGACCGGAACGCGAAATGTTGAGGTCTTTCCATATTTCGTACAAAAGTACGTCATGTCATCTACGTCATCATTGTAGTGTGGAGCCCTGCATACAGTAAAGTAGATTCCAAGTGCATCATACCATCGTGGCGCTGAGGTCCAGATGTATCGATGCTATACTATAGTGACATATCGCCTCTCAGTAGCTTGTTCCGAATGAAGGAACGACGCAGGGCTGAATCGAAGCAAAATTAGTATGGGGGATTTGGAACACAATCGAATAATCTTTCCAATTCTAACATCTGGTACCGGAGTGGAATGATTGGAACCTACATGAACTCTACCTGCATGACACGAAAGTACCGGGAGTCATTTTGAGTGGAAGTGATAATGACTGTCTCGTTGCTGGCCCTGAAATTCAATGGTAAACGGAACTCTGCTCGCACAATCAAGTCACCGACTCTTCGAAATGTGCACCATCATCGAGAATGCTGCGGTTCATACCTCTAAACGTAGTTTGAAATGTATTGTAGCAAAGTAAACGCGTTAATTTGCAACGTAGTTGGCAGGGGGAGGTGGTGACGATTATGTCAGAGCTGACTACAGCATCCTCGGCCCTAACAAGAAGCATCGAAGAACAACTAACCTAGCTTGCTGCACACCGACCCCGCATTATCCGCCATATCCACTAACCCGTTTGCAACGCGGAAGCGGAGTGATCTCAATTCACAGTGTAGTGAACAGAGTGAATACATTATTCGAACCACAAACGGCCATCGTTTTGATTGAAAAACGACCCTTAGGTCTGGACAATGAGCAGACTTGCGTCCTCCACTTGAACTCCTCCTAACCCTTCAAGAGTCTTTGTAACCAATCTCGTCAACATCTGGGTCATCTACGAGCTGCCCGTTCAGATCTCAACACGCCTCTGCGACCGAGCAAAGCTCTACTTCTCTCACATAATCACTTCGAAGCAAACATCATTTCCTGAATCTCAGATCATCTTTCATTCTCTACACTTCGAACCCAGCAGAAAACATACTTGATTCCACTCCCAACCTTAACCCCTTTCCAACACCACGATGACCTGCCCCATGCCCCTCACGCGAACGTATCCCCTCAGCAAACCACCCAACCACACCCTCCCGGTTCCCCGCTACACCGCCACCCTCCTGTCCTCTACGACCCACCTCCATACCCTCTATATCGGCCTCCAAACGCACTCCACCTCTGGCGCGATTACAGCCGCCGCCCACCAACTCCAGAAACACATCCAATTCTGGATCGACTCGACCCCCGAGCTTAGCCACGAAAGTGAGTCACCACTCGACCTCACGTACGAGCGCTTCACCCTCATCGACCACGCAGGTGGTGACCCCGCCGGCTCCAAAGTCTGGGTGTGCTACCAATCCTTCACCACCCGCGGATCTTCACCGCCCTCTCCAACATTTCCGGACATCGACCTGCCCTCCCTGTACAAAACCATCCCCGAAGCCAGCCGCCCTGCCATCGGTCTCTGGAAAGAATCCTTCACCACGCCCGTGGGCAGACTCGAGACGAACTACTCCGGTACAGACTACCTCCCCGGCCTTGCGCGGATCCCGGGCGTGCGGGTGGCAGAGCACGAGCTCGCGACGTACTGGGGCGCAGCGCGGGACCGGATTCCAGAGGCGGGATGGGATTTGTTTCCGCGGCCGGATACAGGAGGCATGAGGACTGAGGTAGGGGACGTGGATGGGAGAGGGCATGTTTTCAAGGGCACGAACAAAGCAAACGTCGTGCACATCCGGTCGGGACAGTGGTGGGAGAATTGCGAAGACGAGGAGAGGGGGGCGTACGAGGGGAAGTTGGAACCCACGTTGCGGGCGGGGCTATCTTACCTCAACTCACATCGCGAGGAGAGTGGGTGCATGAGAATTCGCTACTTGCGGAATGGGGAGGGTGACGAAGACGTGCGAGAAACATGCGGCGCGGGGTTCTTCCACAACCTAGAGGATCTGGAACGCTGGAGCAAGACGCATAGCAGCCACCTGAAGATCTGGCGCGGGGCGCTGGCGCACTACAAGGCGTTTCCCGAGAATAGAAGGCTGCGAACGTGGCACGAGGTTAGTGTGATACGGGAGGGGGAGGCAAGGTGGGAGTATATGAATTGTAAGGGGGGTACGGGAGTTATGGGGTGTGTGGTACTGGAGGGCACACCATTGGCATAACGAGCGCAGCACAGGGTCTTCTATTCCGAGAGATTTTCGATTGTCCTTTTGTATGAAATTGCTCGAATCGAGAACAAATGTGGTAGAACTTTGAAGTCTTGTCTGAATCCCATCCTGCATAGAGTCCGCGTATAAGCCTTGGTCGTACTGAGATAGATGCGCGGTGGAGATCAGCAGTGCCGTCTGTGCGACAACGTATGCGTCGCGGCTTTCGACGGCATACTGGCATTTCGAGATCCAGAGCAAAGGCGAGCGGCGTTATGAGTACACCCTCACGAGCGCAGATGGGCGCATATCCGTCGGAGGTGCTGTGTGCGTGTGATACAAGCCACGACAACGACATGCGATTTTGCCGGAAGCGGTTGATTGGATGCCGTGGGAAGGAATAATGTTTTCGTTTAGGAATATTCGAGATGGCCACACGGCGCCTGACCAGGTTCAGGACCGGTCTGGGCATCTTGGGACCGGAACTCGTTGATATCGCATGGGCGATGTTCTCATCGTTACTGGTATGGAGATGTGGAAGACGGGACGCAGTTTGTTCGTCTTGAACAGGCCTGATTTTGCTGGTGCGGAACCACGGAAATATGAGCATATTGCGTGCGAAGCTTACGTAGAGGAATGTTCCAAGGTTTTCGAGAGCATCTTTGGGCGTGAACGGAGGTGTTTCGGATCTGGATGGAGCTGTTCGTTCCTCGGCAAATGTTACCTTAATCGTCAGTTATTTTTGGTATGAACATGAAGGTTAGTCCGTAGACATGCAGGAAACGTCGCAACAAGCATGTCCAGATTATCTGGTTGATAGTAGCCCGCTCAAAGGCTGAAGACAATATCGTGGCAGCGCTGTTGGATTGTCGACCTCACAAGCATTCCGGATGGAGGTTCTTGTATGCGAACAGAGTTGACTTGTGATGCATTTGAAAATCATTAGAATTGGAATGCCTAGATTTGCAGGTCTCCTTTCCAAGACTCGAATCGATGTTACGCGCGGCTTCACAGGATTAAGTGGCGAATCAATCCAAGCAGAGTACATGGATCCAAGGGGGGTGTGGTGGACAAGCCAAGCGAGGAAGTCTCCTACATCACGCAGGCAGGTCGCAGCTCTAAGATCATGCAGAATACGTAGGTCTCTGGCATTCGAATCCGGTACACCAAGCGCTAAGTGGTATGTTGTGTGATCGACCATTAGGTATCGCAAGACAGGGCCTGCTTCTGGCGGTAAAATTCGGACAGGTGGAACGGGCGTACGAGGACATCGCCGTAGGCTGAGAAACTGTGGCACCGCAGTCGGGATATGAAAAGGAGCATAGACTGTCGTGATGGATGAAGCTGTTGGACTCGAAGGAATGGATTCTGTCAAGATTATGTAGAAAACTCGAAACATTTTCGGATGGCACCCAAAAGATCCAGATGGACGCATTCGGTCAGACCAGCGACGACTGAGACGGAAGGAAACGCATAATACCTACCTGATTTGAGATACAGTGCGATACCCGATTGTGGAGGGGAGAAAAGTAATGCAAACGCACATCGACTCCGGCGAGACGGGAGGGCGATTGCTACATGAGTAACAACGTAGATTGGCCCGCTCCTCTGGGTGCGAAAACCTTCGTGGTCCAAGGACTGGTGCGGGCGCGCATGGCATATCAAGATCCGTGTAGCTGAACCATCCGCAGACAAAATCTGACAGCGCAATTTGTCCACGATACATCGACGTTTCAAATGATTGTGTGAGATCGGCAGCGGATTGGGACGGAATGTTTCAAAATTCGATTCGTGCGGAAGAACGGTGCGGCTGAGACCTGAGCATACTGGACTGTCGTGGGCGAATCACGCAAGGCCGCATGTCGATCGCGTGCGCAGACAAAGGTGTCGAAAAGTGGACAGAGGGTCGGCGATTGTTTGTTGTCGGAAGGGTTGGAATATAGGGAGAAGATCGGTGAATACTGGATGCAATGCGTACTCGGGTCCAGAGTTCGGCGCTTCGACATGTCGAAGGGACGACATTAGAGAACCCTGACTTCGATGGCGAAATGGAACGGTGCCATAGCGTCTCCTATAACAAGCCGCGGAAAGAGGCAGATGAACTCAATGCGCACGTCCAAACCCAAGCAAGCAGTTCGACCGTCCAATGGGCCGTTGCACAATATCAAGCGAACGGAAGGATTATTGTCGTATTTCGCGTCGCCTAAAGCGTTCGTCCCGAGACCCATAAACAGCCTGATATCAAATAAGCGCTCCGATAAGGCCATGATCGACGCTCCTTGGCAGGGGAAACACTCCTTCTGGGCGATGCGCACCGGGGCGATGGCGTTCTCGATCGCAAGCCCCATTTGATGGTGGACGTTGTCAACTGGCCGTGCTGTGTGCGCACGAGGATATGTACACCAGCAGCACTCTCAGGCGTACGGGCTTGGACGAACCTGACATTCGAGTAGCTGTCGTGCAGGCACAACGGCTGAAACAAGGTGCAATGTGCGGCGGTGAGGAACAACTGGTGCTCCCCGCCTTTCTGCACGACGCACGAGGGACGCAACCAGAGAGGTCAACAAGCGAAATGAGGCTCGGCGCCTTTTCGTCCAGGAGCAAGAAGCTTCATCCCAAACAGGCAAGCGAATGCAAATGGATGGTTAGCCTTACAACGAGCAGCCATGCTTAATCTCCACCAAACGTGCGCGCGATGCTTGTCATGGTGTTTATCGATTTGAGCGGGTCTGGCGGAGGACCCAGCGTGTCGCGCGTTGTGTGACTCGGTGGCGGGCGTGCAGAAGCTTGAAGTCGCCCTGGGGAATGGCGGTCACGAGCTGCGGAGGCGACAACGGCGTCGAGGGCGCTGCCACCACGCGCGGTCGCGAAGATGCAGACGGCCACGATGGTAAATCTCCGTCGAAACTGCTCCGGACGGCATCCTCGTGGGCGCAAGGCAGAGAGGACCGGTGCGTTTGGCGATTCGCGACGCCGGTGGAGAGAGGCAGCCGGCAGTGGACACTGACAGAGCTGCATCTCCCGAACGTGAGCAATGATCAACAGGCTGGCCTCCGTGCTGTTTCCATGTTTGCATCTTCACGTCACTTGCACCTCGACGCGCTGTGAGGCGCACGCGCCGGCCGCAACTTAGCCGACCCGTGACCGCGTTCGGCCAAAGCGCAGCCAGCAAACAACACCAACGACACACGGAGCCGGCCTGGCCTCCACATCCCAGCGCCACCGCCAACACACCAGATGTGGAGGGCGCCCGGCGAGTCATCTATGCGCCGTGCTCGGTGCATCTCGTCGACGAGCGCCATAGGCACCCAGACTTTCACAATAGCCGCCCGGCTGAGCAGCCAGCACGCTGCAATCAACGAGGCTCGACTCAGCACCCGGCGGCCCTTTCGCGCACCCTCGTTCATCTGGAAATACGACCGCCACTGTGCACATCGCCAGCCAGAACTGCCTTTCTCGGCGTAGCATCAGGGGCTCGAGCCCATCGACTGGCCACCGACCACGACCGTGCTTCAGGATTGCATGGTTACTGCGCTAGCCAATGCACCGCCAAGCCCACTTGCATGGCCCGAAATCCGTTTCCCCCTGGTGCCCGCTGTTTCTCTCCTTTCGAATGGGGCGCCTGTGTCCGGCCGCACCGCGGCGCCCGTAATCTCCCTACGCTACATAAGATTCATCGCGCTCGCCCTCGCTTTCTTTCCTCACTTCCCTCAAGCCAATCTACGAGCTCAAGTCCTACCTGACCTTTCGGTCGTCCAATCGTTTACCAACTTATACTATCATTAATAATACCTCCCGCCAACCCACCAACCAACTCTCTCCTACCAACAAGTTCTATTACTTAATCAATCAGCCAACATGCGCTCCTTCATTGCTGCTACTCTCTTCACCGCCGTCCTTGCGGCCCCGAGCTACGGCTCCGGCTACGGACAGCCCAACTATGGTGCTGGCTACGGCACCGGTGAGGAGACTACCCCTGCCGTCTCCTACCCGGCTGTGACCCCCACCCCTGAGGTGCCGGTCTACTCTGCCTCGTCCACCCCCGTTGAGGCCTCCTCCACCGTCCCCTCGTACGGCGAGGAGACCCCCGAGGTCAGCAGCTCGGTCACCAAGCCCAGCGAGACCCCCTACGTCCCTGGATACGGAGTTCCCTCCAGCGTCGAGACTCCTGCTCCTTCCAGCTACGTCCCGGAGGTCCCTGCTGAGTCCAGCTCCAAGCCCGGCTACGAGGTCCCCTCGTCTGTCGAGACCCCCGCGCCCTCCAGCTACGTCCCTGAGGTTCCCTCGCCCAGCAGTGAGTGCACCACTCAGACCACCGTAACTGTGACCATTCCTTACCCTACTCCTTCAGCCTACGTCCCCGGAAAGCCCTCCGGTACTGGCTACGCCCCGGCCCCCCCGGCTGGCACTGCTCCCTCGGCTCCTTACCCCAGCGCCCCTGCTCCTTCGGCTCCTTACCCCAGCGCTCCCGCTGGTACTGGCTACGTCCCTGCCCCTCCCGCAGGCACTGCTCCCGCTGGTACTGGATACCCCACCAAGCCTACTCCTACTGAGTACTTCACTGGTGCGGCTTCCCTCAACAACGCCGCTGGCTTCGTTGCCGGTGTTGGTGCTTTCGCTGCTCTCTTCTTGTAAATGTCATCTTCAACTGAGCCTGTCTTCCGGCAGGCTATGACTTTGCATGATTAGCGCTCTGGTTCGATAGAAAAGGGGTGGTGTGGAGATGTAATGGATGTGCGGTAGATTGTAGTAGACAATGCAGAAAGAACTTGACCTAAAACCCTTCTCTCGTGCCGTGACATGTGCTCTGTAGGTTTTTGCTTTTCTCAATTGCTTCCACCCCTATCAGGCTATCAGTGATCGAGCATTGGGTGGGCATGTGCTGTGAATCTTGAGTCGTTCGCTTTGCAACTTCGCTGTTTGATCGTGTTGCTGGGATGGCCTTCGAAGGGTATGCATCTGGGTTTCATACTTGAACTAGCAGCCTCCATGGAATCTGTGGACGTCCGCCGCCACCTTTCGTTCCTTCCATGCATGCACTAGCGCCTTGTCAAAATCATGGGCTACCACCACGACGTCCCAACAACAGACCACATTGCAAACCCCAATCTCAACATTTCCAGCTCCTCTCAACGTCCGCACAACCCAGCACGCACGTCAAAATAACCTCAACCTAACCCCGCATCATTTCGGCATGCGAATGAACCGGCGGCGCAGGGCGATGGCGTAGTCGCACGAGGCCGCGTGGCCCTTGTACTCCCCCTCGACCCCGGACCATCGCACGCGAGATTAGCTGCTGCGGAAAGAGATATGCTTAAATCGAGACCTGGCTCTAGGAAATGAATGTGGCTATGGCCACCAGTTCGAACGGCATGGGAGGACGAACGCGTGGTCTGCGTGTAGGTGAGGTTGGATTTGGATTGTGGGTCGCGGTTGGGGTTGTGTGACGCGGCCTCGTGGGTGCACTTGAGTGGCGCGATGCAAGGAGTGGGAAAAGCAAATGCCTTGGATTGTCGCGGAGGGTGGTGGTGGCTTGAACGGGACTCGTGATTTTGGGAAAAGATGGTACTGCGCGTAACGTGCGACTCGCCCTGCTATTATCGAACGAACGCCTTCCATCCTCAGACCTGGCTTCGCCCGCGCAGTCTACGCCAAGGCCCACAGTTCATCTGCTGCCAGGTCATGTCGCACCTCAATTGCAGCTTCCATCCGTTGAACCGACAACAAGCGTCTGGCGTGGTTTCCAACCAAAACAGGCTTGACTGCAAGCAAGCTTTCATATCTTTCCTGTGGTTGTCTGAGGATGACGTTAACACCATTTACTGCGTATATCGACTATGGAAGTTTTGCTTTGGGCGAGTGTCGCAAACCTTGGTTGCCAAGTGCATGCTAGAGAGGCTCTGTCTGTAGGGACTTTGTTCTCATACTCGACCTCAAAAATATGAGAAATGGCGCGGTAAAAAGGTACAAATAAGATCACGGAAGCATGTTTCCACTGCTGATGTCCCAAGAAGCACATAGATCTAGTTCGATTGGGAAGCTTTTACGTGCTCTCGCCAGCCGCTGCAGAACGCTAAGAGAGAACTCGCTGCGGTGTGATGCCAGATATCGTCCCTGTTACCAAGCAGGGTTAGAAAACAAGGGGTGCAATGTTCTGACGGCAGGAAAAGATGGCGGGCAAGACAAAAGAGCAGTCCATGCAATGACAAGTCACTGGAAACGTCTAATTTGCACTGATGGAGCGCAATGCCTGTGCAACCTGGATTTTATGTCCATGTTTCATAGCCTATAATAAGCTCCATCAGTATATTGATACGTAGCTGGTCTACTTGACAGTGATGATGACGCGATCGTAGCGCGTCAGCGGGAAATCCCCGTCATCAGTCGCTTGCACAATAATTGAGATAGTCTGCCCCGACTTCGCATCCGCCGGCACCATTGCACTCGCATCTCTACGCTTATCGCTCGTGACGGCGACTTCACCCGGATACGTACCCTCTTCGAGATACTGCCACCAGGACACAGTAACCGCGTCCCGGTCCGGGTCACTCACACGAGCGGCCAGCTTGACAGTCTCCCCCGCCTTCGCCCTCACTTTCGCGCCACCCACAATCTTCACCTGGGGCGCGTGATTCCCTTGCTGATACTTCGATGTAAGCCCCCACTGCATCCTCGCCGCAAAATCATTCGACGCCGCCTCCACCCAGCGATTCGTCGTCCAGTCCTTGACCTCGCTCCCGTTCGCCGCCTTCTCGGTCACCACCAGCTGCCACAGCTCAGGCGTCGAGCTATTCAGCTTCGAGCGGCCGCCCCAACCCCCAAGTGCCGGATTGCTAGCATCCTGGAGCCCGGTCGTCAGCAGCGGGTTGAACGCCACGTTGTCGCCTTCGGACAGGAAGTCGTACGGCCCGAGCGGCTTGCACCACGTGCCCGGCGCCGCCGCCAGCGTGTAGTTTCCAAAGACGTCGAGCTGGTCACCGGGTGTATGCTGCCCGTCGAGCCACGAGCGATACAGCCGTCCAAGCGGGCCGATCTGGATGTTTGCTTTGATCCAAGCGCCGGTGAAGAATTCATGTTGATCTGGTAGGCCGCGGACATTGCCTTGCCCCTTGTTGCAGTTGAAACCCCAGGTATTGTAGGCCGTTGAGAAGTCTTCCACGCGGAGGGCGGGCCAGTTGGGCGCGATGTAGGCGGCGTAGGTTTCGTCTTGGAAGCCGCTGGCGAGGATGACGGCCTTGCGGGAGACGGAGGCTTGGAGATGCAGCCATTGCGCGGTGTGGGCGTATTGTTCGGAAATGGATTTGAGGGCGCGGGCGATGGTGTTGGTTCCGCCCCAGGCTTGGAGGTAGAGAGTTCGTTGGTCGTTGTCGAGAAGCAATGACTTGATTAGGTTGGAGCCGTCCGTATCTTGGTCCATCTCTCCCTCGAAAACAATGTTGCCAATTTTGACCTTGGACAAAAGATCATTTGGTGTAGGGTATGCTGAGTCGTGAACAAGTAGGTTGCGGTATATCTCGGCATATGCCTTTAGGAGGATGTCCTCAATTGTTCGTGTCCCGGTCCAGCGCCACGATGTCTGAGAAGTATTGTACTCGCGATTTGGCAGGAAGAACTTCGTGTTTTTACCGTCGCCAGCCCAGTGATATTTGCTGGATGTGTAGATTATGCCTTCGGTGTCGAGTTCATTGGTGTATAGAACGTATCGGACGAGCGAGGCCAAGTCATCTTGCTCCATGTCAGTAGTGACTACAGTACGGAACCTCTCTGTTCTACTGATGGTATGTGCAGGGATCACAGAGGCCAACAGGCCTGCTGTCAGTAGACGGGGTATCGAGAAGAACATTTTCAACAGCTTCAATGTTTCGATAGAGGCGAGAAACCTGCAGCTATTGATCGTGCTTAAGTCGACTGTACTTGCTGGCCGCCGAGGGCTTTTGTATACCGACGAAAATCTCTACGCTTGGAGCTACATTAGAGCGCACCCAGCAAGGATGGTGGCATCGTAGCAAAGTCCATTGTGGAGACCCCGCTCGATTCGAAGTGAGAATGGGACAAAATGTGGGGTAAATTCACCGCCATTGGTGGAGGTAGGCGGAGTATCATGGAATTGGTGTAGACAAGAGTCATGTAGTTGTTCTTCGTTGAATTCACAGCCTCCCATTAGTCGCTACAACACTCCTTGTGAGTTGATTCGGCTATTCATATCGTTTGCTCCATAGTACTGATATTCTTAATAACGGGGCCATGTTGGATCTGATGTTATGGTGATAAGTGGCATAATCTGGAGCAAACCATGCGGGATATTTTCCATGCAGAAAAATACAACCAAATAGGCTCGTCTCGCCATTCATTTGGTTCGATGACGTCGAAATCCCCTTCTCCAAATGTGGTAATCAGAGGCACCTCTTCGGAGCTGCTAGCCTACTTTGGGGAGGTCTTGTGAGCGCGCCTACTAGCAAGGGCAGGCACCTTCATTGAGCCGAGGCTTTTCGGGAGAGGCATCCAGCGCTTGTTATCGAAATGTATGAACACATAGTAATGGAGGGCAGTCGAATGTGCCCTCGGGACGGTATACAATGTTTCGCGGAGCGTGTTGCACAGTGTGGGATGGAATAGGTAATTATATTGACAATATTATGTAGTAGGGCTGAGATTGTTCATGATATAAGAATCATCTTAGACCCGATTCCAACCGTCCTCCTCCTGAGATTTGATCTCATCGCAAGCATGTCCGCTCAGTGACATGTTGTGTGTTCCTGACGTGGTCACCAAACCCAAAGTCGGGCTTGAGACGCATTTACCGCCGTCGGAATAAGCTCGATGCGTTGTCGCGTAAAGTTCACCTTTTTCTTGTGCTTCCAGTAGCTTTGACATTTTTGCGAGTGTCTTGTTGTTTCTGACTAACCGCGTTGACATTGGCTGTGGGCGCGTCCATGCCTCCAGTAGCAATCTTAGGCAAGAACCTGCCAACTCGCTCCTGGTAGAGCTTATAGTCCGGGTACTTCTTCGCACTGATCAACTCAGTGAGCCAGGTGCTGGCCTGAAAGAGAATCAGATAGGAGAGCGCGGCCGCAAAGCACCAGTTGACGTATGTCTCCGACTCAGAGCAAGACCACTGGTACAATGCCAACCACACGCCCTGCTCGGCAGCAAAGTTGGGATGGCGGGACCATGCCCAGAGGCCGCTGGTATTGAAACCGCGATCGAGCTGTTCGCGAGTGTAGCTGTATTCCTTGGGTACCTTTGCTGTTGCCTTGTACGCGTTCTTGGCCCCATGGAAATTCCACTGTTGCTGGTCGGCGAAGAACTCGATCAGTACGATTGCGAAAATGAGCTTGGAGAAGATGCTATCGTAGAAGGTGAACTCGTCTCCGGTGAGGCGTGAGCACAGAAGGAGGATGTAGGTCGGCGTTGTGATGGCAAAGAGAAGTATCTGGTGTGAATCAGCATGGACTCTTGAAGTATCATGCGCGTCTGGTGTATGGATCTTGAATACTAACATTCTGCGCCAGTGAAATGAATACGATGTTGAGAACAAACATAGCAGCGGGACCAGCGTAGTCTTTCACGATGTTCCATCTGTAGTCCTCAGAGCCGACGCTGTATCCTCCTTTGCGCCAGTAGTTGAAGGTCAGCCTCGCGCCCCACAAGATGGTGACGGCCATGACGTGGTCCAGTCGCTGCGTGGGAAGTCCTGACAGGTGCGCCCATAGCGCGTAGTGCGAGTTGTAGATAACGGGCAATATGCTCCACAGGCGATCTACCTGCGAGTAGTTCTTGTTGATTTCGGCGACAATAAACACGATCGGCGTGAGGAACAGGGAAAACCCGAGTGCGGTGATCAGGGGGTTCGTGGAGAGGTACACGTGTTGAAGCGCTTCTAGGTTGTTGATATTGTCGAAAACCCTCTGTGGTAAGTCATACAGCTGCGGAAGAAACGGCGAGACGGTCCTGGAGAAATCTGCGCATTCTGGGAGGGCTTTGACAACGGGCAGCGCCACGCGCAAAGTTGGTCGTAGATCTAGCATTGTGGTGTATGTTTAGGAGGTGCACCGGCTGTCCTCTCGCATTTGAAGTCCTGCTAGAGTTGCGTGGCAGCGATGACCGCAGTGTACCGTGGTGAAGACATGGCGTCATCATCTGTCGTTGAAGGAAAGCGCGCTCGCTTGTTTTTGTGGGACCTGGGAGACCAGGGAGGCCCGTGCATATGGCCCGACGCGCTTCCTATGGGTCGACGCGTCTTCACATGATCGCCGACTAGACTTCCGTCGTGTATCGGGGGGTGAGGAGACATGGCGCGGATCCTGTGCGTTGCGGAGAAACCGTCGATAGCTAAGGCTGTAGCCAACCATCTCGGCGGCCAGCCTCGAGCAGTGAGTGCGTGATCTTGCCACGACCGCAGGAGTCTTACACAGCGCCAGGAAAATGTTCGCGGCATACAATGGGTCAAGAACTATAAATTCGACTACAACTTCCAGCGATGGGGCCAATCTTCGGTCACCTTCACTTGCGTGGCGGGGCACATCCAAGCCCAAGATTTTCAGGAACGATATCGAAAATGGCATTCATGTCCACCATCGGATCTATTCGACGCGCCAATCGTTACCCAGATTGCAGAAGACAAGAAAGCTGTCGCAAGCAACATCGAAGCTCAGGCTAGATATAATGATATTCTTTTCATCTGGACCGATTGCGACAGGGAGGGAGAGCACATCGGAACTGAGATTCGAGACATTGCACTGAAAGCAAACCCCAACATGCAAGTGTGGCGGGCGAGATTCAGCAACATAGAGAGAGCGTACGTAGTGGACAGCACCTGGAGTAACATCACTGATGGCGACTGTAGGCACATCATCCAAGCTGCTCGGACGCCGATCCAGCTGGATGAAGCTCAAGCAAACGCAGTTGCGGCACGAATCGAGCTTGATCTCCGTCTAGGCGCAGCCTTCACCCGTATGCAAACGTTGTCGCTACAGCAGATGCTTCCTCAGCAAGGCGAGCAGAAGAAGCTGATCAGTTATGGATCGTGTCAGTTTCCCACCCTTGGTTTCGTCGTCGACAGATATCTTCGTGTACGCAACTTTGTTCCGGAGCCTTTCTGGTATATCAGAGTCAGTCATGAAAAAGATAGTATCAATGTCAAGTTCTCTTGGCGAAGAGGGCATCTTTTCGACAGGATGGCGGTCATCATCATATACGAGAGATGCTTGCTCTCAAAGCACGCCAAAGTCACCAAGACGCAGAAGAAGCCAACGAAAAAGTGGAAGCCGCTGCCTCTCACCACAGTCGAACTTCAAAAGATGGGCAGTAGGTTCCTCCGTATGACCTCTCAGGAGGTTATGAAGATTGCCGAGGACTTGTACACCAAGGGTTGGATCAGCTACCCACGTACCGAGACGGACCAATTCGACAAGGATATGGACCTGCGAAGAATCATCCAGAGACAAGAGCAGGACAACCGGTGGGGCGCGTTCGCTACAGGCCTGATGAATGGCGGATTCAACCAACCTCGCAACGGCCGCAACAACGACAAAGCGCACCCTCCGATCCACCCGGTGAACTACGTTGCCCCAACCCAACTAAACGACAACGAGAAACGCGTGTACGAATTTGTCGTGCGCCGCTTTCTCGCTTGCTGTTCCGAAGACGCCGTGGGCGAAGCGACAGATATCGAGATCGACTATGGAGGTGAGACGTTCCATGTCCACGGGCTTACTGTCATTGAACGAAACTATCTCGATGTTTACCCATACGACAAATGGGAAAGCAGTCAGAATCTGCCCCGATACACCGTGGGCGAGACGTTTGAGCCGAAAGAGGCAACCATGCACGATGGACAGACAACAGCGCCGGGCTATTTGACGGAACCCGAGCTCATTGCGCTCATGGATGCCAACGGCATTGGCACTGACGCGACCATGGCCGAGCACATTGCAAAGATCAAGGAGCGCGAGTACGTTATTGCGCGTCCCAAAGGAGGAGGTGGTGGGGGTGCAGGCCACCAAGGTGCTGGCGAGCGAGGTGGTGGCCGAGGGCGAGGGCGAGGGCGCGGCCGCGGCGGCAGAGGCGGCCGTGGAGGTGCAGCAGCTCAGAATGGGGCAGGAGGTACTGGCGGAGTACAGGAATTCATTCCGACGACGTTGGGAGTCGCACTCATTGAGGGATATGACAACGTGGGGTTCGAGACCAGCCTCAGCAAGCCATTCCTACGCAAGGAGGTATGTACTATGAGACATGCGTGACCGCTGCTTAAAGTGGGCGCTAACGCAGCCGGCAGATGGAGGTTCAGATGAAAGCAATCTGCGAGGGCCGCAGCACACGCAACGATGTGGTGCAGCAGAATCTGGAGCAGTACAGAGCCGTGTTCCTCCGCACACAGCAGCAGATCAACGTGCTAAAAGATGTAAGTTGGGCACGCAGTTGTTGCTGGAGGTGCACTAATCGGGCCAAGGCCATACGGAAATATGTTGGCGGCGCCAATCACGGTTGAGCAGGCTTGCACGCATACGAATAATTGCGCAATTGCATATTGTTGCGCTGGGACAGTTCTCGGCGGCGAAGATGTGGTTTTGCAGGTGTACCGCACACTGGAGACACGTGGGCACAGCAGAGCGCAGGGCAGGCCGGCGTCCTGTAGCCAGACGCCGGTGCGTTCTTCGTAGTGCGGAGGCATTGCTTGGGCAGGTTGGACGCAAAAGCGGGACCAAAACACCTGTTCGAAGAGCGTCGGCGCGATTCTGCGGGATGTGCTGCAGCGATGCGACACGTGTGTTTGTGGGGGGCCGTCCTTCGTTGCTTATCCCTCGGAATGAGGCGCATCGTCAGCCGAAGCGACACAGGCCGCTTCCGGTGGTTTCCATGCTTCCCCTCGCGCTCTCAGGCCGCATCGCCAGCGAATTCGGAGGCGAGAACCCCGCGCTCAAGATAAGGCCAATAGTGTTGGGGCACGGGGGGCATGGGGCGGGTGTTGATACGGGTGGATTGAATCAATGAGTCGGCTGGACACGGAAGGTGCGCCCGTCGTGACAGCATCGAGTGCGCGCACACATCGTCCGCCGAGTGCGAAGTCGTCGACGATGTGCCAGCAGCAGCGTGTCGCAGCGGCGCCGTGCGGCTGTCGAGGGAGCCGTGCCCTGTTTTGCGAGCGCACACCGAGACCGACGGTGGCTTGGTCACGAAGCGTTGGCTGCGCGCGCAGATGACCACCAGACCATGACGCTGCCTCAACTGTGGCTGCCGTCACGACCCCGGTCGCCCCTTCCCTGAGTGGGCCCCGGCGCCTGGCCAATGGGGTGCGCGGCCGCACCGAGCTGGCTTCCGTTATCATCTCCTGTCTGCCCTGCATCTTGGTCAGACCTGCAACGCACAAAGAACTGACTGCCTCGCAAAGAGACTTGAATAGCATACCTGAACGAACAAAGACGCACATTCACCTGTCGTCAACCTCCCTGCTCGCGCGCAACCACCCCGTCGCTCGCACCCGGCCGTCCTCGCTCGCAGATCATCGCCGATCGCCTCGGAACGCCCAAGCAAGCAACTCGCTGCAGCTTGCGCTCAACAACAACAACAATCGCTGCAACCGCCCGTACTCGCGTCCTTATACCCCGTAGACAGCCCTCGCTGTCTCTCTGCCAACTTCTTCGCGCGCTGCTGCCCTCGATCAGACAGCGCCTTCCCTGAGTCATCGTGTCAGCTGCTCCTGTCATTCCGTCCCAAATCCCGCAAGCCTGACCGGAACCATGGCTGCTGTCGCAACCCGCCAGCCCATCTCCAACCTCGCCGTCGCCTTCGCGAACCGGTCGGCCACTGCAAATATACCCATACCACAAGATGGCGGACTCGCCTCCGCCATGCCGACGCCTCCAAGCTCCATCTCGCCAACCTTGCCGGCGCAAAAGGGCCGCCCTGGCCTGCCGGGCGCCGTGAGGTCGCCTTCGCCGCTGTCTAGGGACATGGACATCGACCTCGACGATGCGCTCGAGCACGCTGCCGTGCAGGACCAACCTGCTCCGGCGCTCTCCAAGGAGGCGCTCGCGGGCTTGGACGCGACGCGCCAGATCACCGCCATCATGCTGGCCAAACACCATCTGCCTGGAATTATTCTGGGCCACGGCGCCATGCCCATCCGCGAGATGATGGCTCATCTCACCCACTCCGTCCCCGGCTTCTCAGGCCTCCCGCCCTCCAAGGCTCGGAGGTTGGTCGTTGCTGCGCTGGAACATCGCGCTGGCGGCGGACTTCACGGCGAAGTCAAGTTTGAGAAGGTTGGCTGGGGTCGGTGGAGCGTGGCTGGACACTCGTCGCAGGCGAACAGGGGAGTCCCTATCGGGGCGCACGGCGCGTCTCACCACGGCATGACTCCTCCCGCGAGCTTGGACAGCCAGGCTGGTCTCCACATACCCAAGAACTTACGTCATGGACGCGACGACTTCGTCGGAAGCTGGGCTGCTGGCTCCCCCGATAGTCGCGATGAAGACATGGCGGACCAAATGTCCCTGGACGGCTCGGAGACGAGCGAGTCCGACACATCTGGAATGGATCTGGGCAACGACATGGACGATGAGACGGACGAAGAGGACTGGTCTGCCGTTGGACCTGAGGCACTTCGACAGAAGCGCCAGCCCACGCGCCCCGTCTACCGCGACTACAACTACCTTTCCCGCACCTTCCGCTCAGCTTCTGCACAATCTGTGCCTCAATCCCTTGCCGCGAGGACACCCACTCCGGCCCTTAATTCTGCTTCTTACACTGCATCCCGTGGAACTACGGGCACTCTTCCTGCATCTATTGGCGTTACTGGACCCCGAGGCCAACTCGCCGAGCGTGAGGCTATCGAGGCATTGATTGCCATGGGCTCCATGTAGCCGGGGCGACCTCCGAATTGGCGTTCTTCTTGATATTGATCGGTCACGAAAGGCCTACGACGCGCATGATACTCCTCGGTTTTCGATGTTATCATCGACGCGGCATGAAAATACTGGCTTTTGGGTTGGAATTCTGGGCTTTCCTTGCTTTTACGTTTGTCATACCCCCTCACCGTTGCTTTGAGAAGATCCGTCAAGTGCTGATGCGATCCATATTTGGGTTATTCTGGGTCTTTTCACCGTCACCATTCTACGCTATTCTTTACACATTTTCCCTTCTTCAAACTCTTTACTAAAAACCCGCTGGGGCATTAAGGAACAGCAAGGAGGAATCATGGTTCACCTTTGTAATGAGCGCTTCCCGAGACATGTTCGAATGAGCACACGTCACTTGGCAGGCTTCAACGCTGGCATCGGGCAACGACACATGGAGGTTCTTCTGTGCATCCGCATCTTGCTACTACTTTTGCATCACCATTTTTGTATATACCTTTTTGAACAAACACTCTACTCTCTGGCAACAGCCGGCGCTGCGAGTCGGAGGATGAGATGTGCGCTGCCGGGCAGCAGCGCGAGTGCGATCGAAGCCTCCAATGAATCTAATACACGCTGCAGCGGCTGCCTGAACGGGCGGCCGCAGGCCCGTGGTCCTTTATTGGAACATACGTATGTGCCTTTGACTTGTGCGTGTTTTGTGATGCTGACAGTGGGCGCGGCATGGTACATTACACGTGCGTTTGAACACGACTCAAGACTTGGATCATGTCTTGGGTTGCACGATCCGTCGCCGTTTCCGTTTGGCAGCTCCAGTGCGTACACAGTACGTCACAGGAAGTCTGGCCCCGTCTCCACAGCCTTGCCGTGCCTCGTCGCCAGTCAACTCGACCAAGTGGCGAAACCCCGCAGTGCCCTTGTCATTGCCGCGCCGCTGATCTCACGGCGTGGGCACAGCTGTGTGAGGGATACCGCTGCAGCCGCGGCGGTATGGGGTTAGGGTAGGCTGGGTGTGTAAGCGTGGTTAGTATCCATGTGTAGTTGGAGAATCGGGTGCAAGGACCGTGGGTAGCCGAGGCGAGGCGTTGGGAGCAATGGCTGTCGGGCTTGGCTCACGAAATGCCTTGCTGTGGTGTTGCAATACGTCGCGTTGATATGCTCCTGTCTATACTGTGCACATGTGTAGGCACGGATGATGGGCATGTGCTTTGGAAGTGCAGCTCAGCTCCGAGGAGCTGAGCAGGTAGCATGTTTACAGCCTCCATTCGGTCAAGGTTTATAGCTACGCCCTGGCTATTGCGCGCTGGACATGTGCTCATGTCATGCCACGATATGGCATTGCATCCTAGCCCATGGCATGAGGTGAGGTGACGTGACGTGACAGTGAAACCGCACTCGCGGTACGTAAGAACGCGGGAGTCTTGTTTGGCCGACGGCCCCGGCTGGCTTCTATCAGCTGTACAGTCAACCGCACTCATTTGTACACAGCATAGACAAAGATCCGGTCCTCGGGAGAACAGATGCTCTGTTGAGTCCCTTGACTTGGCAGGTACACATTTGCTCCCGTGTACAGTAGTGTGGTGCACTCCATGCAGGGCACGTACGGCATACCGAGGGACAGTAGCTCTTGCCAGAAGCCGCGGACGCGTTGAGCGTCGGACCGGTGGGTTTAGACGTCGATATGTTATCGGTGGTATCCACTTGCCATATCGAAGACGTCCTCGTCGAAACGGCAGTCCACTGCTCGAGCAGCCCTCCGAGGATTCCTCCATGCGTGATGGCAGTGTGTCACTCCCCGCGAGCTCGCCACTGGCCACCAACTGCCTCGCAGCAATCCCTCTCCTTTTGCTTGCTTTCCCACCCAAAGTTCGCACCGCACAACTCCCGCAAAGGCGCCGCCTCCGCCAGCCATCCCTGTTTGAGCAAGTTCCGTGGGGCCCCCCGCCAAAGGCGGCAACGCGCGAGCCCTGAGTGAATTGTGCGGGCGGCCAGCCCTGGCGCAGCCCACTCTTGCTGTGCGGTTCTCCAATCGCAGAGCAGAGCGCCGTAACGCTGGGCGTCGCAGTGAGAGGCAGCGGCGCGTGCCGAGCGCCGTGCGCGCGCAGATAAAGACCCCGCCTACCCCTCCTTTGAGCAACCATCAGCAACGAACAACAACAACAGACGTACACACATACATACCTTTTTTTCTCCTCCCAAACCAAAGAATACTCTTAGCAAACATGCCTGGCTGCGGAACTGCTGGATGCAACTGCGCCGACTGCGGCTGCGCTCAGGGAGCCTGCAACTGTGGAAAATGTGTGTTCCCCGCTCGCATCTCCTGACCCTCCGAGCCTTGCGCTGACATCTCCATAGAAATCCCCCACGTCTCTTCACCATGACGGCGGTTCGTTTTCCTTGAAAGACAATTCGATTCGACACATTTGTCCTTGATACTCGGCATTTGACTGTCTGTCCCTACGGCCGCACACGATGCGAAAACGACAACAAGATGCGATACCCTTCGTCTCCACTCTTTGGCATATAGTTGATGAGCATGGAGGGCTGTTTGCTCTGATCTGGATGCCTGATTCGATTCATGGAATGAATAAGTAAATCAAATAAACAATTCTGGCGGACTGCGTGCGTCCCTGCGAGCTAGATTGTGACGTGTCATGCGAAGTGAGATCAAATGAAGTGATGTGAATGGAAAAGCAGGAAGTGTGATGCTTACTAGTTCGAACATATGTATAGATGGCTTTGGGTATCGCCCTCCTCTATCGGTCTCACATCACTGCGTCTCTCTTGCCCACATCCTCCAGATCAATGACCTCCTCTTCGACCTCGACCTCCGCTTGGCCCTTCCCTTTGATCTTCCCATTCTTGTTGCCCGTCTTGCTGCTGCTGATGCTGCCTCGGCTGCCGCGACTGCCTTTCTTCTCTGGTACCGGTGCTTCGGCTTCATCTTCGTCACCGAAAAGGAAACCTTTGCCTTTGAGCCTTCGCTTCTCGTCTGACGCGAATGCCGAATGGGCAGCACTCGACGCAAAGGTCGACGACGCGGATGTAGAGTCCTGACCAAGCATCCATGAGAAGTTGGAGGATGCAAGCGTAGGACGTGCGCGTGGCGGTTGGGCTGAAAGTTTCGATGATGCAAATGATCGTTGTGGTGAGGTATGGAATTGCGGGGAGGTAGGTTGGGCGTTCGGGGCAGGCGAAGGAGGCTGCGCGGTTGAGCCAGACGACGTGGGTCGTGATGCGTTGGGAATCGGAGGGGCGCTTGCTGTTCGTTCGGGGAGTGCTGCTGGAGCGGTAGGTTCCGGTGACAGTAGGGTGGCAGCTGCGCTGGCCGTGGCCTAGAGGATTAGTAAAGTTTTCTTCATGTTTGAAAGCATCTTCTCGTTGCCGTAGAAAGATAAGGAACTCACTGCTTCTTCAGTTGTTTCGTCTACCGGCAGCGGTATCGATGAATCTTCAAGGTAGACTTGAACAAACTGTACTTTCGCAATCGCAAGGCTCAGCGCTTCTATCGAGTTTTTCTTCGACTGAGCGGAGTCGTTGCTCTCTTCGCTGCGCTCCTTATGGTAATCCCAAAGCTCGCCCACCGCGCTTTCCAGCATCTTTGCAAGATTCTTGCTCCTCCTTTCTAAAATCTCGATCTTCTTCAGTGCATTTCCAGATTGTGCACGTGCCAATACAGGTCTCGCGTTGGGTATTGCTGGTTGTGCTGGCTTCCGATATTCCCGTCCACCCGACCTTGGTGTCGTGTTTCCAGAGATGGTTGTAGAAGGCGAGCCGGACTGAATGGCCTCGGCATGTTTTCTGACCTCACCAACCGCATCGCGAATGGCTTTTCCGACACCCCACTGCGAGCCTCGCTCAAGCACATTCTTTGCTGCTCCCTGCAGGAGCGCTTCAATGCCTGCACCCTGCTGGGTCACGAACGCCCTGGGCGACCCTATGCTGCTTCTCGAGCGATGTGACGAATTAAGGGATGGTGATGAGGGCAGTCGTATAGCCGGTGGAGGAGACCCGTCCATTACCGGAGCCTTCTTCCCATACCGCGAGATGATTTCTGCTCCACCCTCGGGTGTTAGGTGGTCTCTGAGATAGAGCGCGTCTTTGATGAATGTGTATGCAGGTGCACTGGGCTCAGGGTATCTCAGCAACAACGTAAATGCTTCATTTGTATCTGCAGCCACAAGATCCCAGCGGACCCGTAGCAGCATGGCGACAGAAATCATATCGACTAGCTCGAGGGTGGAGTCGATGGCGAACAGCGCATCCCATACGTTTAGAACATCGTCGAGGGGAAACTCGCGACCGAAAAGTAGCCTTATCCAGCGCCTGAGTAATGTTAGTGACATCTGTGATGTGGAAGAGCAAAACGTACAGAAGGAATATTTGTGGGACAATCTCAAGCTTCACCAAATGCGAAGCCAACTCTGGGTCGGCTTTTGGGAGATAACGTTCAAAGATTTTCGCGCATCGCACAAGCATTGGTGTTTCCTTAGAAGAGAGGTCAGGGTCCGCTGGTGCGTAGAAAGACATGGCGGTCTGCATGATCAACGAGAACAGCGTGAAGGTATCGTGCTCCATGTAGTTCGAGTCGAGCATGTCCACCATTATCTGGTCTGCTTCTTTCTTGTCGGTGCCTTCCATATCCACTGCGTCTCTTTCTATGACCCATAGTATCGGCGCCAGTATCTCGTGCATTCCCTGTCGGTATCCCACGTTCGGGTGCATCTTGCACCACACGAACAGAGTGTCCAACATCATGTTTTGCGTGGCTGGTTGCCGGAAATATACGTTGTCTGGCATGCATCGCTCGATATCCTGGAAGATCTCCGCGCGGAGTGTCTCGTCTGACCGGAGGGCTGTCCACGGTGACTTTCAAGGCTTAGTAGAGGTCAATACGCGACATGATAGGCGACGGAAGGTAAATATACCTCTTCATGTTCGCTGAGGGGATCGACCGCGGAACCCAACTCATCCGGATATTCGATTCCTCGGAGGTAGTGCGAGCGAAGAGATGCGTAAGTGGAACGCGACTCCACGATGCGGGCGGGCCATGACGAGCGATCGAGGGTTTTGAAGAGGAGGAAGATCTGGATATGCGCTTAGTATTGTTTTCAGCTACCAAGCGCAAATCCGAGTACCTTCCAGCATACGGAGCGCAAGCCAGCTGTGATCTGCGGCTCTCTGTGCGAAGATACCGCTATCTTTAGGTCTGTGAGCGAGTGGAAATCGTCGAGCTGGCGCCAATGTTTCCTAGACACGATCAGACATGTACTTGGGCGCGATTTGGAGAGAAGACGCTTACTCTGCTTCGGCAATGCCTCTCATAGTGGAAGAGACGCAGTCCGGGAAGGGTAGAAGCAAGAGGGTACCCTGATGTCAAGCTATGTTGCGATTGCGACACAACACTGACGTGGGGCGGAGCTAGGCCCAGCCAATCAACATCACGTGGCACCGTGTCGCCATGGGCCGGCGGCTAGCCGAGCTCCAAACCCGGCCCTTGCGAGTGTTTGGATCATAATGGTGGCTATAGCGAGTCGTTTCAATGTCTCGGAAGAGTAATGAAATTACATGTTGTGATCATGGAACGGCAGGCAAAGCCACGTTCGCCAGACGCACAACGCAGCAAGCACCGGACATGCCTATGTGCAGTGTGTATTGATAGCGCATCTAAATATCATTGAGCCGAGAGACAATGCAGTTGGGTTTCCCAAATCGACCAGAGACAGCGCATCCAGCAAGGTACGAGGCCTACATCAGCCTCACCCATCCCAGCCTGGATCGCAGCCCTGACCATGGCCCTGACCCATTGATTGCCAACAACCCACCGCTACTCACGACTGACCTTCCGCAATCGTCCCCCTGACAAGAGGCCATGGCCTCCTTCCTCTGTTGACATCAACCGGGCCAAGAGTTCCTCCAATAGCGCTGGCAGGGCGCTATTGGGTGACTAAGCCTGTCGTCCCACGTTTCTGATAGAAGAGGACCAAGTCGACCGGAATGCGATGACGCAGCTCAATCCTTGTTGTTGGGAGGAACTGCGTTCTTGAGGCCTTCCACAGTCATGTACTGAAAGAGGCCGGGATTCAAGATGTCGGTGCGGAAACGTTCCTGCTGGAGCAGCTGCAGTGCTCGGAGTGTTGGTCCAGGATGGCTGCACCACATGATCAGTCATCTACGCTATTGGCGATCGGGCCCGTGAGCACGTACTGGAGAAATCTAGAGTACTTCGGGTCCTTGAAGTACTGGAGGTAGCCGAGGTAGGCCACGAAATCGGGTTTGTCGAGGATTTTTTGCTGGGCTAGGTAATTGAGATAGGCGGGATTGGCAAGGCACTGCACGAACTAAGGGAGATCAGTGATGAATAGGGGCAGCACGTGGGCCTGGTTCGGACGGACCTCGAGCTCGAGCTCAAAGCGCGAAAAGCCTCCGTAGCGGGGGACATGGTCGGGTCCGTCGGCAGAAGCCATGAGTGAGTGGCAGACGGCGCTGCAAGTGTTCGCGCTGGCGACGGTGCTGCTGTGACAACAACGAGTGGCCGGCTGCTCGCTGAGGCTCTCGGTGTGCGTTTCAGGGTCTGTCCAAACTGCGGGGGCGACGGCAAGCCTATGCCTGTTCGAGGGCTGGAGGTGAATTAGCCTGGAACCGCGCTGCTGAGGCCACAACAACCGTGCGCACAAGAGCCGTGGTCGGGCGGGCCCTGTTGACAGCAGACGTGGCCGGTGTCGAGCACAAAAGTAAACAAAGGGAGATGCGGGCGTGTGACGGTGGGTGACTGGACGCCGATGGCAGGCTCTGTGGCCGATTTCAGTACTGAAGGACGAGCGATGCGGTGATGTCTGGCTCTGCTTTGGCAACCCCTGCGCTACCCATTCCCCCACAGCAAAGGCTCAATCATACGGGCGATTTCGTACAGATCCGGCACAGCGCGTCGAATTAGAAAATCAGCTGCGGCGCCACCAGCGCACAGTTCCCCTCAGTCGACAAGCCGCGCCTGCAATAAGTCAGGGCTCTACCCCAGCGCCGGACTGTGAAGCTCTTATTTACATATTCCACGGCTGCCAGCCAGCCTGTTGCTGCGACCTGCCCGCCAGTCTCCCCGTCCCCGTACATTATCTCGTACATCCTGCGGCACCTCGCGCCGCCCTCGACGCTGGCAATTACTCGGGCTGCACATGCACTAGCCGCGTCTACCACAAGATCACCGCGGCCTTCACACACCCGTCACGCCCAGGAACAGCCTGCGCCCACCCACGAGCTGCCCATCGCCCTAGGCTGTGTAGCCCGCTGCCTGCGAAACACAGCGCCCCTCCTAATCGCCAGTCTTACCCGCGTCCCCTATAGCCTGCCAACTCTTGGGACTCCGCCAGCAGGATTGGCCTTGTGCGTCACCGCCCGTCGCCAACCAACTGTCGCTTGCCCAGCGCAATCTCGCCCACCACCACCCCCGGCTCCCCAGTGTGATTGGGTCCGCCGCGCAGGGTTGCAAGCAGCCGCACCATCATGTTCGCGGAACCGTCAATGCCAGGTACGCTCCTGTCCTTATCGCCCGTTTCACCTACAGAAGCGGTGACGAAACGCCCACATCACAGTCCCCGCCTAACTTCTCCTATTTGCACAGAACGGCGCCCCTCTCCCGGGCTCACACTCGAGCTCAACTCCAAGAATCCGTTTCGCAACAGAGCGACGTCGCCCGCCATCCCTTCGCCCGCCCTCCAGACCCCAACGAGCGCAGGCAGCCGGCCCATGTCCCGCAACCCTTTCCTGCAGACCTTCGAAGCCGAGTTCAACAAGCAGGCCCAATTGATCGACATGTCGGCCACGATGAAGGAGTCGCCCAAGAAGGCGACTTTTGGCGACGATGCCAAAGACCTCTTTGTACGTCCTTGTTCCTTCGTCATAAGCGGGTCGTGCTGCGTTGCACCAGCAGCTGCACCACTTTCCTTTTCCCATCGCGCTCCCGCAGTAGACACGTTTCTTCACAATCGAGTGTCTGATGGATCGCCTGAGGTGTTTTGCGAGCAAGTTCGCTAATTTCCCTTCCCTGCAACAGGACAACCTCACGCTTGACGATGGTGAGAAGAAGCGAGGCCCAGCTCCCCGAGGCCCACCCCCTCGCAACGGCGCTCCCCCCGAGCCACGCCACCGTCCGTCTCGCTCAGACGAGGAAGAGCGCGAGAGGCGACGAGACGACAAGCGCGACGACCGACGTGATGACCGACCCCGTGGCCCTCCCCGCGGACCTCCCCGTCCCTCTGGAGATCGACGAGGGCCTCCGCCGCGGGGCAGCCCACACAGGAGGGAGCACAGCAGGCGACCGCGCCGCAATTCCGAGTCGTCCATGATCGACAAGGGCTCCTTGGATCCGAATGAGGAGCGTCGGCGCAGAGAGCGTCGTAGAGAAAGGGACGAGCGCGCCCGCGACGGCAAGTCTCGTTCGACAAAGGTCCGCAAACCCCACGGCCTCGACATCATCGACAAGCTGGATGTCAGCGGCATTTACGGCCCGAGCATGATCCATCACGACGGGCCCTACGATGCTGTGCAGCCCCACCGCAACCGCGAAAAGGACAAGCGCGCCCCCATGCATGCGTTTCCCGCTGGATCAGCAAACAATGCACTTGGCGGATCTGGCCCGGTGAACGACAAAATTGATCTGGACAAGATCCACGGCCGAGGTGCCGAAGGTTTCACTGATTTCGGTGGAGCTGCCAACACTTGGAAGCGTCCAGAGCTGGAAGGGCGCTCGTTGACATTCGGTCCCAAGGAACGTGAGGACATCGTTCACGGCGACCCAAGCGTTGGTCTGGGCACATCGACTTTCCTCGAGGGCGCACCAGCATCACGCACTGCCATCCAGCAACGCGAGGCTGAAAACCAGAAGAGTTTCGCAGAAGGTGGTCTTGGCCGGAAGAAGTCGATCGCCCAGCGTTTCCGCGGCTTGAACCAGCCGAGACGAGATTACGGCGACAGGCCCCGCATCACATCTCCTGAAGCTCGGTACGGAGGCGGCAGCCCCAATGGACCTCTGACCACAGGAGGCAGCTTGACAAGCAGCAAGAACGAGAGAAATCCCTTCTTTGATGATTACGACCAAGCCTACGACAAGAAGGGCGCCGCGATCAACGTAGCCCAGCAGGAAGGGGTAACCTCACCCACTTCTCCCGGAGGCCGCAATGCTTTGACGCGTGCCATAACTGCGGACAGCATTGGCTCACCGGTTGAGTCGAAGCCTCAGAGCGGCGGTGGATTCCTCAACCGCGTCAAGAGTTTGAAAGGCGGACGACGCCCGCGACCTGAGCGCCCTACCTAAACACCACACGATGCAATCGGATAATCATTTCTGATTTAATATGCATAATGACATCCGCACACGCAACGGCTGCGCCGAGCACCTACTGCCGGCCAGGCCCCATTGATTCTCCCATCACCAAATCGGAAAAGGAGCACGCCACACCGGCGCATACCATGACGGACATTTCTCCCATCGTCAGTCGAACATGCCACACCGCTGGGTTGGAAACGGCATAGAGTAGCATTGGAGGGCAGTTTGGATATGGATATTTTGGGTGTACATTTTGGACGGAGAGGGATGGGCGTGATTCAAAACGGCACCTAGGAACAACTCGAGTCGAGACGCACGTTGCGAAGGGCGCAACGGGATTAAACACCACTTTCTCCTTTTAGTCTTTTCTTACTTGCTCATTAATAGGCGTCTATACCGCCTGCGGAATCCTTTTTGACGCGCGCTTGGATGGGAATGGGAGAGTTTGTAGTTCAATGAAAGCATTATGTGCGCTACTGTTGTTAATGTGTGAAGTGCTAAATCAGGAATGTGCATGAGATGAGGTGGCTGTTTGCGAAACGGATCGGCAAGGGATCGTCGTAAGTAGGGCGCTCTAACGCAGGTACGTGACGGCGGGTGTTCCGATGCTTCAGCTGCAGCCCTGGAGTGAAGCTAGACACGAGCTGAGGAGAGCCATGCAAGCCACGTTCCAGAGGCTCGGATGCTGTTCGCTATGGCGTCATGCAGTTGCGAATAAACTCCGTAGTAACAAGTCGTATTCTCGAATCGATATATCGACTCGTATCTGAGGCATTTAGGTGACGGTGGAGCAAATGTTCCAGCACGCGGGTTGTGGACTCGTAGTGTACTCTTCCTCAATGGGAAGACGCGCTAGTCGTGCCTTCCTACCTGTTCCAACGCCACTCAGCCTTCACGGTCCAAGTCTTCCACCCAATATACGAAAGCTGAGATGCTGGCTATACACTATTTCTGATGACGCGATGACGCCCGCCAGGCCCGCAGAACCGCTTCTCGCGAGCGCGGCTATCACCGATGAAGAGCTGGGACGGTCATTCGATGAGATGATCAGCGGAAATCCGGTACTTGCAAAAAGTCAAGGCGTGCTGAAAACGGATTCGAAAAGCATTGATGCGGCGTTCGGGGGCGGGCTGGAAGGAGGGAGAGTGGTGGGTGTGTGGGGGGATGCCGGGGGTGGAGGGGCTGAGGTGGGTTTGCCTAACATTCATACATCCATTCACGTTCCGTATGGATTCGGGCAGGAGATGAGACAGACAATTTTGGTATCCAGCTGATAATTAGCCAGATAAGTTTAGCGCTGCTATCCTCATCGCTGCTAGAGAATCCGCACTCATCGGCTGCGGTCGTGGATACAACGGGCAACTTTGATGTCTTCCGCTTGTATGCGTTCATTTTTGCACGCCTGCAGGACGACGTGGGGATACTTCGCAGTCTGAATGAAGCTATGAGTATGGATGGGCTGGGCGCGGAGGAGGTGGCTGCGAAGGCACTTGATCGTGTGAATATCATGCGGGCTTTTGACCTGGTCGGGGTTATGGAGGCTGTTGGGGAGGTAAGAGACGAGCTGGAGGGACGAAATTTGCAGGCAATAGATGAGGTGGAAGGGGGTTCTGTCGATCCACCAGAAGCGGAGGTAGTAGTTACGGGACTAGGAGAACAACGGGATGCGGAGAAGGAGAAAGAGAAGGAGATGCCGAAGAGGACTTTCGTTGCGGATAGCGACGAAGAAGAGGAATTGCTGTTTGACGACGAGCCAGCGGCTCCGATTTCAACGGATGTGGTAATGACCGAAACATCGCCCACGGAGGAGCAAGACGAGATACTATTTGTCGACGGATCCGCCGACCAACGCGACGATACTTCCCACCTCCCGGCTGTGGTTACTGCCCCGCACGTCCAGCCCACGGGAGCAGAGCAATCACCATCGAAGAGGGATCCTGCACCCGCACGAACAGCCTTCCTGCTCATCGACAATCTCGCGCATGTCGTCAGTCCGCTCCTGCAGAAAGACTACACACAAGGCAAGCAAAATTCCCTCTTTTCTCAGAAGCGTGCTGACATAGAATAGCACAAGCTCTAATCTCTTCCTTCCTCCTCACCCTCTCCCACCTAACCCGCAACCACACCCTCCACACGCTGCTTTCCAACCCCAGCGTGCCACCTCGCCCATCATCCAGAAAGCCCAATCCAAACCATGAGAACCAGCAACAGCCACCACCGCCTTCGATCTTTGCGTCAAACAAGAATGTACCGGCGTTAGTGAGTCTCTTGATACCATACCTGGATCTGTCACTGTTGGTGGAGAAGATGCCCTACAGGAAGGTGGATGCGAGGGCTGTATATGCGGATGGAGAAGCAGTCAAGAGGGCGAGGAAGGGCATTGAGATGGTTAGTGTAATGGAGGTTATGAGTGATCGGTGGGGTGGGAGGGGTGGAGGGTGGGGGACTTTTGTGTGTGGGGAAAGGGGGTTAAGGGATGTGTGATAGATTCGCTCAGACATGCTGTGCGTATTTGCAGTCGAGTATGATACCCCTCCCTACCCCCCAAGCCCAAACACATCATCCCCCCTGTTCTCCACCCAACCCCTCAACGCCCTCCTCTTGACATCCCCCTTCACCCTCCTCCTCGCCTCCAACGCCTCACCCTCTTTCACGTCCTTGTATGCACTCATTTCAAGGATATGGGTTAGAGCAGATATTCCCCCAACAGTCGCAACCCGCACCGCACCCTCCCATAGTCCCCTGCGACAAATCCTACTGGCGCCCCTCGGATCAAACTGCTTGCGTCCCTGCAGTACGCCCCCAATCACCGTCTCCTGCCAGCTCGGCGTCCACACTGCGCTGAGATTACTGCTCACAGCTTTGGATGAAGGAGGCACCATCCGTCGACTCCAGGCAAATTCCCGCGACGTACTGAGAACCGAGAATGGAGACCACCGGTACCCGCCGCCCCACGTAGGTGCCTGCTCCACGACAGGAGCCATGCGGCCGTCGGAGCTGAATGCGCGGGTGCAGGCGGTGTGTACTTGTTGAGAGGCTGGAAGGATGAGGGAGTGCAGATACGCGTTCCGCGGGGAGATAAGTAGGGAGGTTAGGCCGGAGAGGAGCGAGGTCGCTTGTGCGAGGGCGAGCTTGTCGGTGCAGGATTTGGAGAGGGTGGCGGGCGCGTCCGGGCGCGAGGGCTTGCAGCGGACGGCGCCGAGGTGGGAGAAGTGGGTGCGACCTCGCAATGCTGTGAGGACTTCCATTTCTTCGGGATTTGGGAGACATGTGGCAGAGGTTAGATTTGGAGTGGGAGTGGAATTTGAGGAGACGGTTGGCACAGGCGAGGTCCATGGCGTTGCGTCTTCTTGCGCCGCCATGGTTAGCTCCATGCTTGCGTCGCCGCAGGGGGCTTCCGAGCAGTACATGTAAATGCGGATGTCGTCGCGGAGGGTGAAGGGCTGGGGTTGGGAGGGTGTTCGGCCTTCAGGGGTGATCTCGCGGAGGTAGGCGGAGGGTGTGTGGGGAGGTGTCAGAAGGAGGATGAGCTCGTCGAGGAGGAAGCGGTTAAAGGCGCGGATGGCGAGAACTTCGGCGTGCCAGTCGTGCAGGGCGTTACCGTGGGCTAGAGGGAGTTTGTTGGAGGGCAGACATTTCATGCCGGTTCTGGGGGATGTTAGTGTGGTGTTCGAATGCCATTTCTCTTCGATTCTGGAGGTGCTTATTTTCGGCACTCTTCCTTCTTGATATCGCCCTGTTTACATGTTCACTAGACTCTATAATTTTTTGGATTCGTTCGTGCCACGACTACCCTTTTCTCACGATGGAGGTCTCGCCTGATATTCGCTGGTGCTAAATCACGCATGGTACTTTTGGTACATCTAGCTGTACGTAGGAAAATCCAAGCACGCAATATGCAAAGACCAAATTGGGAAGACTCACCCTAACGAAACACAGGACAGCTTGCCATCTTCGCTAGATCATTAGTTCAGCTTACGACAGCGTTACGGAGCATCAATAGTGTGTCGTACGCTTATCGGCTAGCACAATGCCGGCGAGGGGTACCCATTCACGCGCACCGTCGGATTGGGGTCTAGGCTTGCGCTTATCAGGCAGCTGATGGAATGTCGCTAGGACGCAATCCGCGATTGCGTCTGGGTCCGGTGTCATGAGGCGGTACTGAGAGGGTGTCTGGGCGACAATGCCATGGTCGAGGTCGGATGCTGGGAAGAATGCACTTGGTGTTGGACCCAAGAAGACGCGGCCAGTGAGAGCGGAGTTTAGCTTCGATCGTCCGAGCGTCCATTCACCACACTGCACCGCATCCGGGTCGCACTTGTCTAACGGCCGTCATACCTCAGCAAACGCTGATACTTACCACTGCCTATTATAGCCGCGAGCCGCGGCGCACTGCGCTTCCTCCACCATGCAAGCCTTCGGTGAGGGATGTCTCTCAAGCGCTCGGTCGCCTTTGCGACGCAAACGCTCACAATTCCAGTACCCAAGAACCGCCGCGTAAGGACCCACGCCTGACCGCCTGTGCTGGAGGACACTGCAGCTGACAAATGCGCAGCCCAAGTTCGAACTGCACCTGAAAGTGAGCGACTGCTGTGTGTGCTGTGTTGCGCCGGCGAGGGTCTTACTGTGCGCAGATCATCGACCTCAACAACGTCCCGCTCGTCTCAGGCAGCTCGTTCGTGAAATGGCACCTCCCGCACTCGACGGCCGCCGAACACCGCGGCCGCACCGAAAAGCGCCCGATCAAGGACCATAAAGTCAGCTACGACTACGAGGCCAAGCTCGCCGTCAAGCTGGTCGTCGACAAGAGCGGCATGCTGCAGGAGAGCTCCGTGGACTTCGAGGTGGTGCAAGAGTACTCGGGCGGGGGCAAAGCCGAGCGCATCACGCTGGGCAACGTCAAGCTGAACCTAGCCGAATACGTAGAGCAGAGCGAGATGAACAGGGCCGAGGGCGACGAGCCCGGCGTCACCCGGAGGTACCTCATGCAGAACAGCAAGATCAACAGCACGCTCAAGATCAGCGTCTTCATGCGTCAGATTGAGGGCGACAGGAACTTTGTTGCGCCTGCGCTGAAGACGGCGCAGGTGTTCAGCGGGATTGCCGGGATCGTGTCGGGCGAGCAGGGAGACGTCGAGGATGCGGGCTGTAGGTGTTTCCCACGCACAGCCACTACCATATGCTTATAGTCCTGCAGCAACACCTTCTCTCAGTGTCGGGTCTCGAGAAGCTGGGGAGCTCCAAGACATGTACAGACGGACGCTCGCTGCGTACTGGTCTGCTCAGCCAGGAGAGCTCAAGGCGGATGAGTGCATTGAAGACATCTTCTCGGGCGGTGATGGGTGGGGCGATCGTGAGAAGCCATATGACGAGCCACGGCGCATAAGATTTGTGAACGGCGACAGCAGTGGCTCGATGAGCGAGGGCGAGTCGCGCAAGGGAAGCAGCACGCTGCGCAAATCACACGAGACTCTAAGACCTGGTGACACGGCATCAAGCCCAGCGAGTGTGCGTGGCAGAGGGAGCCTGGAGCAGCAGGCACACCAGATGCAAGCAGAGGCCAAGCGGGAACGACGCAAGCCGCACCACGAGGTGGATGAGTTTGACGTCCGGGAGGACCTGCGCAGCTGGCGGTTGCCGATGTGATTCTTACACCCAATCAATGCAAGAAAAAGTACTTGAAAATTGCCCCAGCACTCGTCTCCCTATTGACATTTATTCTCACATTCACCTTGACATTCATGCGACTAAGGTTCAGGTGGGGCGACGCGTCGAGGACGGGGCACGTGAACTGGCGCCGGCAGAATCGGTAGGGCTGCAGGCGGTGAACAAAGTTGCGAAGGCAGCGCTCACGGCAAGCGCACCCTAGCCTTCGAGCGCTCCCTGCAGCGACGTGGACCTTCGACTGCCCCAGCACCCGCCGTCCACTCCCTATGCTTGCGCCTCGCGCCTCGAGTGCATTCGTATGCCTGCGCTGCGAGCTGACTCAGGCCCGTTCGCGCCTTGCCGCTCTCCCTCGTCGCGTGCCGCATGCCTCCTTCTCCGCGTCCAGTCGCCGCCGCCACGATGCAGCTGGCGAGGACCATGACACGGAATCGAGACCACGATTTCGCATAAATGCGCAGAGAACGCAGTTGAGCGAGCATCCGCTCGGCATCCGCGTACGCAAGCGGAAAGGAGGGGGCCATCTTCGAGAGACCACCGCGCGTCTCGAGGGTGCCAAAACGCTCGGCGAGGATGCCTCGATCATAGTCTTGGAGGAGTTGGGTGAGCGGAAGAAGCAAGAACTCATACCGGCGCCCCCGCCCCAGGACGACGACCAGATACCCCTCAAGCTCGCCGAGGCGCTTGCTGATGAGCGACCCGCCACTCTCGACGAGGTCGTGGAACAGCTCGACAAGCTGCGCCAGAAGGCCACCAACGACGAAGCCATCGTGGAAGAAGGACACTATGTCAACCAGACCGTCTATTTCAGACTATCAAGCCACCTCTTCAAATCCTTCACTGGCAGGCAGCTCTCGCATTACTATTCGGAAAGAAAGGGCGTGGAGAAAGATCGGGTGCCGCAGGAGGTCAGGGACCGGTTAAAGCAGGATCAGCTGAAGGGAACCGCCAAACGGCCTTCTATGCGCTCTGAATGGACTCCTGGAACGACACAGATAGACAGACGCTTGCCGAGCTTGGACGTCCATTCTCAAAAGAAGCGCAAGAACATTGCCAAGCACCTACTGGTCGACCAGATCCTGCGCGATGTATGGAAGCTGATAATGCTGGAAGAGCTCGAGGCCACTGGCGAGATCGAATTGGCACTAAAGGATTGGCAGCTGGCCATGCTCACTTCGGGAAGCGAATCAGCACTGGATAGAATTGGGCAAAACCGCAAAGCCAGGCTCGAAGTGAACACCGCCGACAAAGTCTTGCGCATCACGGCCGACAAACACACGGCCGAATACGCAGCGAATGATGTAGAGCAACTCCTACAGGCATCAGAAACACAGCGTTTTCACTTCAGCACATGGGTACCGCATTTGGAAACTATCGATGGCGCCGAGCCTACGATTGAACGTGTCTTTCCAGACGACGTCCTGGCAACTGTGACATCCCTGACAGGAGCCCAGCTCCATCGCGTCACGGACAAGGTACGCTCCGTGCCTCGGACAAAAAGACCCGCCACTAACTTAACCAGATTATTGTACGAGCTCTGGATAAAGAGACCATTGCAGAGGCGGTACGATGTCTGATCAAGGTCTTGCCACTCAAAAATCCATCATCCACCACGGTCGACACTACAGCACGAAATGACCTCGAAAGTACAAGTCATTTCAGGCCAATTGTGGTAGAGAAAGAGAGCATTGCCTACAAAGCTCGCAACATCAAGTTCGGCCGCTGGTCACTACCCGTAAAACAAAACATGGGCACGCATGCCACGTCGCCCAATCTTTCACGACGACTGAAAGCTGCACAGGAGCACGTCCTGAAAATGTTTCTAAAGAAGACCCCTCCCTCCCAACGTCCCGACGTGAAATACCCGAAGTGGAACAGACACACAGAGGTCCGATTGAAAGCTCTCTACGGCCATGCACTGCTGCCCCTAGAAAGCCCAAACTCGGAAGCGATATCATTTGTTCCTGCACTACCAGGTCTGTCCTCCCTGTTCACCGACGAAGGCTTCAAGACGAGCTTCACCACGCGACCACTTTTGTGTTATGAGTTCATCGCCCAGCCCGGCCCAAGTAACTACACCTCGGATCTCTTGCCATACAAGTTCCCCAGGCTCATAGCCTACTTCCGGTTCATAGATGGCCAACAAGGATTGTCGAAACTTGTCCTTAGCTTTGATGCTGGAAATCATCAAGTACTACTCCCCGAAGAGGCTGTTGACATCCGGTTCAAGACCTCCCAGAGCATACAAATGAACAATTCTCGACAGGCCCATGACACACGTGAATTACGTGAGCATGTCGTGGCGAATCTGCAAAGTGGCGGACGCATAACCGCCCCAGATATCACTCTGGACATTCCCAAGTGGACGGTCGAAGGAATGGAGTTTGACGGAATCGACGATCTCACCAAGACCAAGTTCCAGTTTGTCGGCGTTACGTTCACCCAGAGTGTTTGGGGAGAGCATGACGGCAACCCGGCGACGTACTCTACGAAACAGAGCGGCAAGCTAGGCGCTAAGTATGGACAATTTGCGACCGTTTACGGGGTAAACCGCTTGGCGAGGCCTGTAGCTATCGATGACCCACCGAACGCGATTAGGGAGTTTGTCGCGAATGCGTTCAAGACGGCAGGCACGATTACCAAAGCTGCTGCCACCAGCCAGGCGGGGCCGAAGAAGCTAGAAATAAAGCCCAAGAAGCGACAGCATTCGGGTGAACGCGTTCAACAGAATCGTCATGCCGTCTCCCGTAGCGCTCGAGACGCAGCCAAACTCGACGAACCATGGACGCCGTCCGATACGCAGATCCCTCAGGCCGCCATGGACGACCCGCATCTGTCCAATATGCTCAATGACCATGCATCCTCAAAAGAGCACATCGACGCGAACCCCTCTCCTAGCCGGGAGGTGCCAACCGAAGAAGAAATGAAACGCAACTTCGGATCTGCGGCCTGAAAAGACAGTATATTAGCATTGTTCCGGCGCGTTCGGTGTAGGATAGTGACCATGGCGCGGCGTTCTGTTTTCTTTTTGTGTATGTATTGCGGGATTGGATAGACGGCTGTACTGCATCGTATTGTACTATTACTGTAAGATACCATACCAATCTACATCATTGTAATGTCCATGGACTGTTCGATCATCCCTGAACCCGTATCCACTACGTCAACACCGCATTCTCCAACGCTACAAACGCAGCAGACCCCGGCCGGTCGGTGTATAAGCTCAATCCACATCACCTGCATCAACTGCATCTTGACCATGTCCCAACTCCATCCCCTGCCGCCCATCGTTCCCCGCCACGCCTCCCGTACCCACGCCTTCTCCGCGCCACACCGTCAACGCAGCCACAACCAGCACCCACAATCTGAGCGCCACATCGTCACCCTTCACACCATCAGACGCCTCCGCCCAGCCCTCCCGCAGTGTCTCATTCACCCGGCCCTACGGAATCTTCCTACCGGGCACCTTGAACGTCGTCGTCAAGAACGCCAGCATCGTCAGCCTAACACGCTATTGCACGGGGTCTTGCAACTGGGCATCGAGATGCATAAGCCACGACTAAAGGGACGTCAGGAGCGCCTGGAAGCACGCGGCCTTGTGGCGTGCGCGGCGGAGCGCGTTGCGATTGATGCGGAGAGCGAGGTACTGGACGTCTTGAGCCACATTCTTCAGCCTCGATTCCCAGTCCTCGCGCGGCGGGTGGAGGTTTGCAAGCAGGGGCAGGTAGGGCGGTGGAAGGGAAGGCGTCCAGGAAACGCCGGGGTGCTTGAAGAAGGGGGGTTTTCCCGGATGAGAGCGAGTACGCGAGGTCGAGGCGGTCGAGTTTAAAGTACAGTTTTGGGCGTGACAGGACGAAGGTGAGGTTGCGCTTCAGCTCTATGATTTTCTGGAGACCCTTGCTATACTGAGTACGAAGTCACTCAAGTCGAAACGGTGGAGCAGGATGCGAAGTGTATGTCGTAGACATAGCGACTTCATACCGGGGAGTATCGTACAAGTGTGATGCTGCGGCGGGCCAGTCGCCGATGATGGCGGAGAGCAAGGCGAGATTGATGACGACGAGAATGGACTCGTCTTCGTGGACGGAGGGTTTTGCGCTCATCTTCTCCCGGAGGAGGTGCAGCGTGGTGCGCAGGTGGAGCAGTGTCTTGGGGCTGGGCTTGCCGTCCCAGGTAGGGCGGAGGTCGGACGCAGCGTTCGAGGCGGTCAGAATGGAGTCCAGGAAGGCGGGGTCGTGGAAAAGAAAGGTGAAGGATGCGTGTTCAAGCATGCAGAAGTCGACTGCGCGATCGAGGGCGAAGACGGAGTGGTTAACAAGGTTGTAGGCGAGGACTTTAAAGACGACCGCCCAAGCATGTCACTCCTGTGTCCGTGGACGAGGTGTAGTTGTGCGTAGAACAACATTGTATGTATGCGGTTGTTCGAGCGAGTGAGGAGGGTAGAGACGAAGATACTTACTGCCCTTGGCCTCAGCATCTATATCAGGTCCCGCAAAGCGCACGAGCGAGAGATCGCTTATCAAAGTATCTGCGGACAGCATGGGAGTCGGAGGCCGCATGGATGTCTGGACCACCTGCATATCCTCCATTGCCTGTTTCTCGCGTCGTTTCCTCTCACGTATCGAGCGGTGGGAGTCCTCACGATTGTTCTTGCCCTGCATGCACCGGCTACGGATCTGTTGGCTTTCCTCAGGCTTGGGATTGGTCGCTGGATCCGACACATGCACGAAGGTGAAGTTGGTCGCCATGATAAAGCAACACCTAGTCAGCCAAGGTAACTCCGTATCGACAGCTGGAGGCAGTCTGAATTTCTATCTCTTTGCAGCTACTGGCTTCGTATTTATGAGCCATTTGGGGGCCAGATATCTCATAGGATGTCATCATCTTGTCATTGCTCAGCCTCAAAACAGTGAAGTTCAGCTTCGAGACGAGAGGTCTGATGGTATTGCTATTGGTGTGGTCGTTTGGGATGGAGTAAAGATTATTTACAGCTCGCGTGGCACCGAGAGGTGCCGAACCAGATTAGTGACTGAATTGGGAGTTGACCACGGTCTGGAACAGTAGAGTACTAGGCCGTGACTTGTGTAGTCAGACAACGACAGGTGTTGCGCTGTCCCTAATGCAGTAGTCCCTCTTACCCCATATTCAACTATGAGACGCCTCGACCAATGCAAGCTCTCAATGACTGACTGTTGATGAGGCTAAAGTGAATTTTATGTTATATACCCCATCTTGACACACAAAGCTACGTGTAGAGTCTATACCATATCTATCGGAGTATTTACTGGTTTTCTTGTCTGTCGAATCGTAGCGCTAAATCTACTCAAAAATCCTCGACCGTCAAGCCAATATTCTTCGATCGAGCAAGCTCCAGGAGTGCACTTCCAACAGCAAGATCCATGATACCGATACCCACGCTCTTGTATATCACGAAACCGTTCTTGAGCCAGTCATCCATCTCAGGCGAACAGTCTCCTTTGATAGCACCCACCTCTAGCCAATTTTCAGCTGCCACCCCTGAGCTGACCAGCTCTCCCGCCTCCTGCAAACATCCCTCTCGACTATCAACAGTGATCGATCCCCGCCAGACCTGGCTCGAGAACTCACCGGATGGATCTGCCACCTTTTTCAACAGCTCAGGGTCAATCTCTGCCATATCAAGGCGATACGAGCCTATAGCAGCGATATACCTAGACTTCTCCCTTGCACTTTCAGACGTGAGAAAGGATGCAAGAATCAGAGGCACCCTGCTGGGAGTGGTGCAGAAAATTACATCAGCCTCCGACACCAGCTTCTCCAACTCTTCGGACTCAGGTTGCTCGACTGCTCCTATTGTGACATGCTCTGGCCACCCCGAATCGCTCGTCAGCGTCTCCACCAGCTCTTGCGCCCTCTGACCCGACCGATTCACGATAGTGACCCGCATGATATCCTTCCCTCTGAGAAGCACCGCAAGCCGCACATGCCACAGTGCCTGCTTCCCCGCACCAAAAACAACAATCTTCTCGGTACGCTTCCGCGTTTTATACAGCAGCATCGAGCCCAGCGCAGTACGGAACGCCGTCAGCTCTGCGGCATTTAGAATCCCGATAGCCTGACCAACGTCATCGCACAGCGTTAACGCGCTCTTCAAGCCGGCCTGGGGTTTCGTGCCCGGCGGGAGGGTGGAGGGATCCGGTGACGGGGCGACTCCCACGATCTTGACGCCGACTAGACTCTCGGTTGTCGCAGGCATAAAGAGGCTGACTTGTCCGGATGGGCGGGTGATCGTTGCGCGGTGCGGTTGGTATTGATGGTCATTCTGGGTGGAGTATTGTATGAGGGCTTTCTCCAGGGCTTGAGTCAGGCCGTCGAGCTCGCCGTGGGATAGATTTTGGAGAATTCGCTGGATATCTTTATCGGAGAGCACGGTGAACATGGTGCTTGATGACTCAAAGTCGATGCGATTGGGTTCTAGTAGAAGACGATGCATGTAGTGCTCTGTAGCTTGAGCAAGCAAGCTATTCCCCGCATCTAGCCGAAATACCCGGCATATACGGCGGCACCCACGTCGAAGCTTGTACGACACCCGACCCCCGGAATTGTGCATTGATCACTGAACAGATTGTGCCGGACACTATTTAGGATGGAAGGAATTTCAATATCTGGGGGCCTATTCCACTCTGTAAAGCTACCATAGGTACAGGATTCTTTTTTCCACATTCTAAACGCCAATTCTGACACCCTCTTTGTCTAAAATGGCATAGATATCTGTCTAGCTTTGGTCCTTCGTCGCTCAACAAAGCGCTTTAAGGTCGCGATAATTGCAAGGCGGGAATGTCTCGCTTGAACGCTAATACTCGCTGCTAGTCCTTTCTGAGATTACGCAGGATAGCCTCCAATGAGTACGCGTATAGGACATGGATACGCCTCTGAGCTTTGAGAACCATTCTCTCGTGCTGAAGCAGGTCCTTCTTGGCCTTGGTCAGCTTCATGTTCAAGGTTCTAGTTTGCGCAACGGTTGGGTTATCTAATCTATCATTGTTTTTTATTAGTAGAAGTATCAACTTCTATTACTGAATGACTTTGTGCTTTGCATTATCCCTCAACTTTTTGAAGGACACCTACTTCTACTATTGTTGTTTTGGGTGCTACTCTGCCAATTTTCCTTTCTCTTGCTTTTGCATACGGGTGAGAAGGGCGCGGTACTTCTTGCGAGTTTTCGTGATATCTTTAAGAGCTCTCTCGAAGCGGCCTGTCAGCCAGTCTTTACCGTGTTTCTCGGCTTCTACGAACTTGTTGTCCAAGAATGCGTCCCATAACGGTAGAAGATCGACTTTCTGTCCAGTCAAGGCCCCCGCGTGACTGAGCACTATTCTTAAATTCATATCAATCTTTTTTAGATTCTCTTGTACGGTATCCATGTAGTGGTACACCGCAAATCCCTACATAATCCGTTAGGAAGGTAAAATGACAAATTAAAAATGACTTACTATACGAATTGCGCTCAAAAACACACTGGACGGAACAATTCCACTCATGGCATCAGTCAAGGAGTCGTTCTATACATTAAGTCCCATGAGGTTCTTGTTCGCCCATAGGTGCTCCTTGAAGGTATTGATCTCTTTGGAACACAACACGAAATTGGTAGGGTTCTCCGTAGATCCTAGAGCTTCGAATACAAGACTATTTAGAGAGTCTCGTGGTGGTTGCGTTCCAAGCTTATACGGTGGCCTAGGTTTACGGTTTCTAATCTTTGAGAGCTGTCCCACCCTTTGAGTCCAATGGTTCATGAAGAATGATTCGAGTTGCGGGTGCAATTTGACTACATGCTCCATAAACATTGGAATAGTTTGAAGCTACGAATGTTAGTCTAGTTGTTATTAATTCACTATTCCATAACCGTACCTCTAGTATATGCTCTATAGCGTACTTTATCGTACTTACTAGTATCCTTGAACTATCTCTAACCTGTGTGCTTCCCAAAAGGGCTGTCTTGAGGTTGAATACATGCACGAGGCTGTTCTAACAGGCTTAGGAACTGTAGAGTTTAGTACTATAGGGATACCCCAACGTCTTAAGAACTAGCTTACCACTAGGCAAATTCGCAGTGACGGTTCGATCACCTCGCTTCCATAACGCATACGGACCAAGAGAATCCTTATTTCAATGAAGCACTGCACCAAAGTCTTGACCACTATCATCTCCGCAATTAATCCATACATTGCATAGAGCAGTCATAGTGTCCATATATAGAACTTGCAACTTAGGGAATATGGTTAGAGTGCCCTTATTTTTGGGCCTTTTGATCGGTTTCGTGGGCTTTAGGGGCTTAGTATCTTTATTTGTCTTATGCTTCTTCAAGCCTTCTTTAACCAAAGTCTCATCCAGTCTTTTTACCTTCGTTAGTTTCCTGGATTTAGCCGGATTTGTCGGTCGAGACCTTCCCCAGGCACGAGGATGGAGAGGGGCATCATTTTGTCTTTCATTGATACAGCTGGCCTTCTGCAGAACTCTATTTTCGTATCTGTTTCAAATTCAGTCTATGTCGTTGATCTGAGAGCTGCTTCATAGACCTGAAATGGTCAAGCGTACATGCATGAGACAGAGCACTTAGAATTATGAAGAAGAGTATAGCCCTGTGCATCATCGTTGGTGCGCTCAAAGACGTGGAAGGTATAGTAGCGAAACGTTGCAGGAATACAGATTGTGAATTACTACTCTTGCTGCTGTCTATTCACGAGCAAACCTCTTCCATACAAGGAACATATCGGAAATGTACATTTCAGAACAAGATATTCATGGACCAGTTTCTTTCTGTTGGGTGTACGGACTTTTCAAACCCGAGTGACCAGCGACGCGGTCCAAGGCTACATGCGACAGCTTCAAGCCTCAAATTCCCGAAAGAACAATGTACTGAGCAAATTGGGGCGCTCATGCTGCACAGTGGCGGTGCTTCAAATGCACGCATACCCCATCACTGCTTGAAACATTCCATCTATTGCTCCAAAAGCGGTATGGTCGACCTCGCTTGTTGTGGTTCACCAGTGACGTGGACCAGCTCTCCGGCGGCACAGCTGCTAAGCGCCAAAGCTAGAGTATTGTTTCTGCTCACTTGTGTTTGGACCCCGCGGCGAACCCCGTGAACCGAATGGCCTTATTATACATTTCCGTCACAAGTGGACTTAATAAAGCGACTCCACAGAGCCGAGCTTCCTTCGATGGGAGAGAAGACATCGTGCATAAAAGGGATGATCAATCGTCCTGAAACCACCGAACATGCCGGACATCGATTACTTGAGGAAGCTATGCTCGAGGCATCCGCAAATGAGATTGGGTTTCGTGGTTTATCGCTTGACTTACGAAAATGATTATAAATGGGCACGTTTCATGGACCATCTCAAGTAAGTAACAGCTTGATGAACTGAAACCATCCACTGAGCGCAGATTACTAGCACGCGTACCCGACTGAATCTGGAAAAAAATGGAGCTGGCGATCTTTTTCCGCGCATCGATTGGAGCGTACAGGAAGACCCTGCATTAGAAGACGCAGACTACGACGAAGTGCGCAAGTAGGCTTTACTGACCCAGACCTCCTCTACTATTCTACTAATATTCTAATTCATGTGTCAAGACGTTTCAATCGGTGGGTAAGAGACCAAAGCGAAGATAAAGAGCGAGAACCATTCAGCACGCGACATCTTGCTTGTGTAGCAGTACCGATGTTCCATATCGATTGCGTACTCAAAGGCCCTAAGCCGACACAAAATGACTCCCTAGGGTACGGTTGGGTGGCTTTGATAAGAGCGGAAATAGAAGAAGACGGCGAAGGATGTACTCAAGTAGGGGTGTCTTTCCTGGTTCCGCGGGCGTTTTCTGTGCTTGAAATTGGCTGGCATGCTGTGGACGTTGGAACGCAGGATGTGTATGCCGGGTGATTCAGACTCTTTATTTGGAGCTATATTGATGGCGGTTTTGCCCAGATATAGTCTCACTCGTAGTAATTCTGTACCGATAGCCCTTTGAACTGGAACTTGGTCCCTTCTCGCTTGTCTAAAACAGTCTTATGATGCACGTCCCTAACTCTTGCTCTAACGTACTCCGTCCCCGTAGGCACGGGCTTGCTCGTATCTTTGTGCTCCTCCGGGATTAGACCCAGACGATCAAGCAATGGCGAAGGCACAGTTCGCATGGGCGTGTTATCGCCTGGTCTGCTAAAGTAGAGGAGACCGAGGCGTGGGATCTTGAGCTGATCTGAAGGCGGGGTGACTACTCGGTGAATGGTCGATTTGACGAAGCCTAGGACGGGTTGTCAGAAAAAAGAAGTTGCAAGAAAAGGAAGGTTTTACCATTGGTTAGAAACGTGAGGGTATCGGCAGCGTTGCAGGTAATCCCGCCGGACACAGGCTTGACGTATTTCCATTCTCCCTCCGGAGTGCGGATTTGCAGACCAGCTACGTGCTGCGAGAAAAGTAAAGTCAGACTGCCAAAGTCGGTATGTCCGCCCTTGGAGTACGCTTGCGCCTTGTCCTATTGTCGCATTAGCAAGGGCCACTACATCGCAGAATATTGATTGAAGTGCAATTCTTACCCATTCTTCTTGCGATCGTACGTTGTAGATCATGTACCGAAGATGGTCGTCCGATGTCTCGTCATAAGCGTGCGCATCGGCAAGATAGTTTTCCGGCAGCTCCAGCATGATCGAAATCAAAACGAATAGCTTGCGTGCGACTTTTTCCCAGAGATCACGGTGAAATGTACGAATCTCCTCCCAGTTCTCTTCAGTTACGCGATGCTTCCCGACGTCCTTCCACGCAGGGATATCTTTGTGGATGTTCAGCTGGAGACGACAATCAGTTTGCATGCTACCATACTTAAGGGCCAATGGACAACGTACCATTTCGATATTCTCTTTCACTCCTGTGTCACCAATCCATCGCGAATTTTCACGGTAGCCGAAATACTCGCCTTCCGCGAAGTTGCATGGAAATCTCTTCTTCTCTTCTAAACTCCCTTTGAAGAAGGTGTTGCCGATGCTAAATTGACGAAGTACACGCTCATCATCGATTCCGGTGTTGGTCACCACCCAAAAGCCTACTCGTGTGACCTATTTCGTTTAGTGGTATGTGGAATACTATGGCTTGAATAACTCACTGCATCATAGAGCTGCTTCGCAAGCTCCTGTTTGCCCCCTGGCTCATCGAAACGAGAAAGATCAATCGTAGAAAGTGGCGCCCATTCTAGATTCTCTTTGGTGGGCTCTGGTCGCACCCACTTCTCAATGGGTAGTTTCTGCGACGTCTGGCTCGCTGTTTCGACCAATCCTGGGGCCATAATGGTGATTCGAATGGATATCTCGATTCAGAAGAACTCGATTGTTGGTATATGCGATGCACGAATATTCGTACATCGGGAACATGTTCTGTCCTTATGCACTTGTATTACAAACCGCCGATCGCGCGTAACTGCGATGGTAGTCAGAACACCAGCGTACTTCCCCTCACAGCATCATCCGCCCTTGTTATTGCGTGCTTCGGCAACATTTCCGATGCACTCTTATCTCCGCACCAACAATGCGAATCATTCATTAGATGTGGGGTGCATCAAAAGTACACGCTCCATCGTTGCTTGGCTTCGCGGTTATGTTATCCGGATATACGTACTTTGCTTGGCCGTGAAGCTTGTCAGCTAATGCATGCCGACGGTGCAATGCTCGTTGGCCTAGGCGTTGCTTATTATGCAAGTCGTCATCGAACCCATACAATTCGTCTTTACCATGCGCCGAAATTGAAGATAGGAGTGGCGATACCGGAGTGTCGTGCGTGCTGTGTAGGATGCAAGCTGCTGTGGGCGCGGAGAAATATACGAGAGGCGAGTTATCTCTCCAGTCGTCATTCCAGGTATCATGTCGTGATTGTTTAGACTCTCTAGGGCTGAAGTTTGCTTGACTATCTAAGAAAAGATCGAAGGACATCCTTCGGTATCCCGAACTCCTGCATTGGGTGATTGATGCCAGTTCTGTTGCACCTTTCTCGCTAACCAAGTGAAAGTTTTCCTAGACTTATCAGTCCTCGTCCAATTCGATTGTCGTCTGATCGCGCAATGGCAGAAAGGAAAGATCCAATCGACAATCTAAGTTACGTTGCCGACGAGGCTAAGAAGGTGGTTGAGCCGGACGTTGAGTCTGCTACCAATTCTTCGCTTGAAAACATCCAGCATGATCCAGCCCTGGAAAAGCGCTTGTTACGCAAGCTTGACATTTGGCGTGAGTTTATCGGACAGATGAGAAAAGACCTGTGCTGACCAAGGCTCTTTTAGTTGTCGGATTTTACTCCCTCGTATATATCTTCCGAGTGATCGACTCCGCAAACTATTCCAATGCAGCGATCATCAATCTCGAGCAAGGAACTGGTATCAAGAAGCAGCTAGGGTTCTCGCCATCGCAATGGGCATGGACACTATCGATCTTCTCGTACTCGTACCTCATATTTGAGCCATCAAACACCATTCTACTAAAGTTCTTTAAGCCGAGTCGATGGATGTTTGTCCTGATTTTGGCTTGGGGAATCAGTGCATGCTGCAGTGCTGCAGCACAAAACTTTGCCGGAATGATGTGCGTACGATTCGCGATCGGGATGGCCGAAGCAGGGGTATATACCACACACTCTGACGATAAGATGCCTGCTTATATGCGAACAGTTCTTTCCCAGCGTTTTGTACCACTACGCTTTTTGGTACAAACCGTCAGAAATGCCGCAGCGCATTGCCTTTTTCTACTCAGTCGGCCAGGTGTCTTCTGCGCTTAGCGGACTGCTCGCGTTTGCTATTTCCCACATGGATCAGCTTGGTGGGCTGAGTGGATGGAGGTGCGATAAACCCCGGTACAAAGTTGCTATGTCTTAAACACGGACATTTTGTGCATAGGCCCATGTTTTTGACTCGGCTGACGTTTATAGGTGGCTGTTTTTGCTTGAGGGCGTGCCGGCGATTCTACTTGCATTTGTAGCATTTTGGATCCCGGACTATCCAGAATCGACTAGGTATCTGACCGATGACGAGCGCGCTTTCTGGAAGAACAGGTTGACCGCGAGTGCACCTAAGGGCGGGAAAAAGCATGAGAATTGGGACTGGAGGTCGCTGAAAGCGCTTAGTAAAGATCCGACCTTCTACACGTTCAGCTTGTACTGGATCTGCCATGGTATCGGCGGATTTGGCGTGGGGTTCGCTCTGCCCACTGTGATATACCAATTAGGCTTTACGACGACTGCAAAGTCGCAGCTGATGAATATTGTAAGTAGCGCCCGCGGAACATACCTGAAAACACAGCTGACCCCTCGTAGCCGCCCTATATATTTGCGTTCTTGCTCCTCAACACTTTGGGCTACATGCTGCAGCGCAAATGGATCAGACAATGGACCACTGCCATTGGGATTGAGTCGACTATCATCATCTGCTACATCATCCTACTCACAGTCGACAACCCCGTGGTCAGATATCTCTGCCTGATTGTCGCCGTTGGCTGCGCAGGCTGCGCATACCCTGTCATCTGGTCTGAGCGGATTCGCGCTCTGAATGGAACGGTTGCGTCAGGTATAGGCATCGGCATAACGAATGCTTGTGCTCAGTTCTCAGGTATCGTGGGTCCGCATGTGTTCAGCACAGTCTTTGGCCCGCGATATCGTACCTCATACGCCGTGAATCTGTCTGTGCTGCTTGTTGGTATTAGTTCGATAAGTAAAACTTGGTTCATCATTGCGAGGAGAGACAAGAGGAAAGCGGCAGGTCTCAAAGCGTAGGGATGTCTTCGGAGGCATCGTTCCGGGACGGCCCAGCAGAGCGATTAGAGAGATCCGGAGACAGAATTGCGGGTAGAAGTCTTAAAGAGAGCATTGCCTGGTATGTACCATGCTGATGCTGTATCTACATTGCGCGAAAAGAGGAGAAATTGCGAGGTGACGCGCAACGCGCAAGGGCTGCTGAGATTGGGCCCCAGTGGTTTGTAGTCTGACGAATCAACACCTTTCTCACCTCGCTCAATCAACCACGCCCCATTCTCAGTGGTCAACATCTTCGTTCAGCGCCACATGTCCAGTTCATACCGGCAGGTGGATCACCCACAATGTTGAAATCAACGGTGTAGTCTGAGTGAGGCGCTATTGGAGCTACAGCAATAAAGAATGGCGAATCAGGCTTTTCGTTTGCGTCGTCGAGGAAACCGAGGGATTTCTTTCTGACAAGATCCGTGGAGTATTCGTTCTTATGCGGGATTGGGGGTAACTTGTTGGGCTGAAAGATCGGGCTCAAAAGCTACGTGCACATAGTGTCTGAACGAAGGTGGACATGCGCGAATGACTGAATATACGAATCTGAAGAGGATCGGAGGGGCTGCTCTTGAGTTTCCATGAAGGCCAGTTTACTCACTTGGGAGTGCTCGTATGAACCCTGCTGAATGTTGATACTGGGGCAATCTGTCATTGTCTTTCTAAGATTTCGACTACTTGTTAAGGACAGAAGACCAGTCGTGCTTCTTCGCCCAGTCCTCCCACGTTGTCATTGGACAATCGATCCCAGCCTGTATCACCTCAGTCAGCCAAACACAAACCATAAGCTCTCTACAGTGGACCCGGGAATAAGTCAGATGCTTTTCAGTACACAATTTTGAGAATAGTCCAAGCCGTCGTTGTGTACGATATGATGCGTCACTCACCTTTTGAAGGTCGATCGCCGTTAACAAATTCATACCACCATCATAACCAGGATCGCTCGCGTAGGAATACATGGCAGCGACCTCGATGCCAGTTTCGCGATCTTCCGTAGATTCGATCATCTCTTCCGGTGAGACTTGCTTGTAGTTAGCTTTAACACCGTTGATCTTGGCCCACGTCTCAAGGAACTCAGGCCACGTGCACGTTGTTCCTGCTGCCATGTAGGCCTTTCCTGGAGGCATTTGCGAGACGGCATAGGTAAAAACGCCCATATCTCCTACCGGATCGAAGTGAGGGACAGGTTTAACTGGTATCGTGGTGAATGCCATCGTGAATGTGCCATCGGGGTTCTAATAAAAAGTCAGGATAACGGCTCCAAGGAAAGCGTCGACAGCCTGACTCGCCTTTTTGAAGTAAGAGTCCGGTAAGATGTTGTAGCTGGTAAAGAAGTAGCCTGTGTGGATGCACGACATCTTTGCCGCTAAGGAGGGATACTTCTTGTTTACGTATCCAGGAAAAATGTCAGCCTTCGCATCGAAGTGGTATAGTTCTTCGAATTTCCCGTCGCTGCATTTGTCGGCATGACTGAGCGTCGAAGCGAAGAAACCATTTTCATCCAGAGTATCCACCGTTGCAGCTGCAGCATCCGCAATGTTCTTTCCCTGGAGAAACTCAATATCGTAAGCGTATTCGCGGCATGAGATATCCATTTCCTGTGCCTCTGCGCGGCCTGAAAAGAATGGCTCCCAATAGTTCGTCACACTGAAAATGGCATTCGCACCACGAAACGCCTCCTTCAACGATTGAACGTCATCGAGGTCTGCCTGCACCATTTCCACCCCTGCAGATGCCAGCGCGGTGGCGGCAGAAGAGGCGGTGGTACGCGTGAGACCTCGGACGCGGTAGCCCGCTGCGAGGAAGCGGCGGGCAACGGAACCACCCTGATTGCCCGTCGCGCCAACAACAACAATGAGTTTTTTGGACATCGCGAAACGTGTTGGATGATTGCCAAGCGCGATTCACGAGGCTGTGGGCGAGGCCTGCGCAAGCTTGCTGGGAAACTGGAGAGTGCGGAGCTCACGTGCTAACCTGCTTTGAGAACTAGCGCAGTGGTTAGTGCCATCTGTTTTTCGTGTGGCTCTTCCGTGAACGTGGACGCAAGCTTAAACAATAATCATCTGGAGCCTCTTCCCACCCCAAAAGCGTAGACTTGATCATCTCGATAATGTTGCTAGAGGCCGACGGATCATCGATAGGACTTGCCTTGAGCAGTCTCATGATGCGATATATTATGACTATACCGAAATACGAACATAGATGCATAAACATCATGCCAGGCGGATAAAAGAGGACAACAATGCTAACACTATCATATAATACAGAGAGCGGAAGATAGCTAAAGAGGCATCTACCCAAGCAGAATATTCCATAAGCGTTACCCATGGTATCATCCCCTTGCGTTCCCATAACTTTTCCTCGCCCTCCTAGCGTGTGCAATATGCGCCATATGCCCACTCGCCTCTATAAGTCTTCCTAATCAACTGGATCCTTTTCTTCCACAGACGGCTCCTCGAACTTTGTTACTATTTCCCCTAGCTTTCGCGTATCCAGCTTCCCGTCGGCACAAACAATAGGAACTGGGTACGAACACCTAGCACTCTCATCTATTATGCTTTGTTCCTCGTGAGTCACGGGCCTGAGACTCAAATGAGTCTGCACCCATTGTAGATCGTCCGGTCTCATGCTCTTCTGCAACCCCAGCGCGCATACCTGGGCAATGTAAACGTTCTTGCCCTGTTGTCTGAGCCCCTCAGCCGCAAGAAGAATGGAGGAGCGTAAGATGTCGACAGATTGTTGGGTCATGGGAGTTGCACTGTAAAGAGACTTGAGCGCATTAGTGCCGAGTAAAAGAAGAAAATGAATGATCCAAGCATCGTAGGTGTCATAGCTGTGTCGGAGGTAGTAAAGTCGAAGGAGCGTCTCGAACATAGCTTGGGAGTAGCGCACGATTTCTTGAGGTGTTTCGTTTATTGCAGTGGCTAGTGGGGTTACCGGCGTTGATGACTGATCGGAAAATGGCAGGAACAGTCTCATGATCCAGTAGTAATACTGCATACTGAAGCTATCAGACTGTGTAGCAATTGCAGATCTTACACACTGCACAGGATGCTGGTGGCACTCACTGAAGATCAAAGTGTATAGGGAATACTAAAATTTTCGGTTCGAATAGCGTAGTGACTCTCGCGAACCAAAAATCCAGTTTCTTCTTTAGACGGAATGCATCCGCCAGGGAGTACTGTTCCACCGGCGGAGAACCTGCTTTTTCGCCAAGAATCAGGTACAACTGGGCTTCGAAGTATATCTTGTAGTCCACGTGCAATGATTCCAGCTGCTCTGAGAGCGGATACTGTACTCGCACATCGGCGTAAAACCCATGGTGTTCTGAGGGATCTGGTAGGCACATCTGAGGAGGCTTCTCGATCTTGAATGGGCGCGAGTAGGTAAGAGATGTCAAAGCTTGTCGCGACCCTTGCAAGATAAGACTGAGTTCTGCGCCTCATTTAAAGACCTTTAACAGCCTATGATTTACTTACAGACGGCCCAGGCGGTGATCGCACGAGCGCGATAGGATTTGGATGAGATATCGTGACGGGCTGGTTCGAACAGGCCGAGCGCCGTGGCCATATCACAAGCCTGGTCCAGATATCGGATTGCGATAAAGTCATTAGCATTAAGATTGTACGTAATGTTCAATATTAGTGCGGCTTGAACTGTTGTCAATCGACTTCTCTCGGGTGGCTCTAGATCCCATAAACGTTTACACTCGCTCATGAATTTGTACGCAATGTTTTCTGGATGCCACAACATCCATCGGTCTTCTAGGTCAAGGCAACCCTGCTGTTGACTTCGGTCAGATTGATTCCTTGTGTGGACAACTTGACATACGCAACCTGCAGCTAGTACAGCATTTACAAGAAGCTTAGAAGCAAAGCGAGTCTCGCCAGTCATCATGTCCTCCAAGAAAAGGTCTTTGTGGAAAACTGGGGAAAGTACTGAAGGGGTTCGAAAGTAACTCCCCAGATACTTTCTGAGAGCTCGATTGTCTGAAGTGACTATCGTCCACTTGGAAATGTCGATCTTCTCGAGCATCGGATCGGCGATTGTCGCTGCACGAAACGGTTTGTCATATGTATCTTGAAGGAATGTGATTGGAAACTGCTGGTATGAATCGTTGGGCACCATCCTACGTGGGGTAGGACTTGATGAGTGTTGATAGAAAGTAGCTTCATACACGAATGAATGGAGATAATCGTTTCCCTCAAATAGCAGATGTGCAGGCATCTGTTTGGCATAAGGGAAGTCGTAACGTCTTCTGGTCTCGGGTACTACAGAAAGCTGCAGCAGGAGGTCTGCTTCTGTGAAGTTGTTTAGCAGACTGTCTACGTCGGTTCCCGCTCGAACATGCTCCAGCATGGTGGCAGCATGCTCTTCGGGAACGGTCTTGATCAGCCCGAGGAATTGTTCAAGTGTCGAGACACGACGTCTGAGATCTTTCACTTGACTTTGCAGGTCGTGCTTTGACAGCCCATTATCCAGTGGTGGATAATGACATGGAGTTGGCTTCCTCATGCATTCTCGGCAAGTGGGTTTCTCGCCGTCGCACTGTTCCTGCGTTAGCCGCTAAATGCAGCCGAGATCCCGATTTGGACCGATTGGGTATTCACCTTTGTCTTGCGGTTCCGGCATGGTACACAAGCTGTTTGTTTGTGTCGTTTCTTGGCGCGGGGATCTTCTGTCGGCACTTGTCGTTGCGATGGGTCAAGGATCGGTAGCAAAGGCCGCAGAGGCCTCTCGCCGCTGGAAGACATGATCTCGACAGATCGCGACACAGTGAGGAGGGGGATTGGAAGTGCTAATGGGACACGGATTCTGTTACCGTATCGAATGAGAAACAAAGATCTCCATAGCGCTAGCTTAAGAAAGTTAGTCGCATGTTTTCAGAATACTTTGCTATTGCATACATCGCATATACGAAGTTTGCAAGATCGGAATCTTGCAGTGCTTGCATCCTTCCATCATGAAGCACATCTCGATGTGAGCCATAATTATTTCCGGTGCCTTCTATGCACATTATTTATCATCCGATCGTTGTGCTTTCCCAAAAAACAAGAATGCAAGTACTGATCGCGCCAATCATCTTCCAGCTTAGTTTACCATCATAGCCAATGGAACCTAGCCCTGACCTCAACCTCGCAAACCGATGCATCTGGCATCGAGGGTTGGAACATCATCAGTCCTTCTTCGGGACTAGGTATGACGTCGAAATTATCCGACGCCGGTGGTCTTACGATCGTCCAAAATGTGGCGCCATTTGCCATATCTTGGACTGGTCTCTTGATTAGGAACTATCCCGAAAACGCTGTGCCAACACAGATGTTCCGAACTGTCGGTAAACAGATCTACAAAGCTTCGAAATAAAACATAACGTCCATCCTTGCGGGTAGAACATCCCTCCGCGCAGAACCGCCAACTTTGTCAATGCACCTTACACCGGCCGACCATAAGTTTACAGAATGAAATTAAATTCACAGATATTCCTAACACCTACTTCAACCTTTCGATAGCCTTAAATGATAAAATTACACCAACTTTGGGTATGTTGTTGGGCATTTTGTTTCAGGCGCTAGCACCTACATGGAGGGCGCCCGTAGCCAAGATGTACTAGTTAGGTCACATCCTCTATGATGGTGGGATCTTTGTGCGCTTTGCACACTGCATGGAGAGAAACATCAAGAAATGAATAATGTTTACTAGCGTCGCATCTGCATGAATGTTTCGTTGATTCGTCATGCTTTACTGCGGGCTAGCCAAGACATGGAGCCACGCCTTACCCCGCTTGGGACCTCGTATAGCCTTCATTGCCAAGCCAAGAAATCAGCGACACGCGGCAGCCTCAGCTCGCGACATCCGATGGCAACGTCCTCCGTCGCACCGGTTCGTCATTCTCTGTATGCTGGCTATTCACTAATAGCACAATAATAGGTAGCAAGCAGCAAGCGCCTACGCGACCAGGCTACGAAGCACATCCTCACGAGTCCTGTCCTGGCCCTGTCACTTGTGTCTACCAGATCTACTTTATTACCCTATGCGGCTCCTGCAGTACAGCGAACGCGGAGAGCTCAGCATCCATAGCTTCGACGATGACGCGATACCTCCCTACGCGATACTGTCACACACCTGGGGATCAGATAAAGACGAGGTGACGTTTGCAGACCTCAAAACAGGCGATGGCAGTACTAAGCCTGGCTACGAAAAAATCGTCTTCTGTGGAAAGCAGGCACAGCATGACGGATTACAGTACTTCTGGATCGACACGTGCTGCATCGACAAGGCCAACAAGGCTGAGCTCGCCTCCGCCATCAGGTCGATGTTCCGCTGGTATCGCAGCGCAGCTCGATGTTATGTCTATTTGTCAGATGTCTCCAACCAACCTCGAGTAGTTGACCGAGGTTACTCCAATTCCCGATGGCTTCTCTGGATATGGATGTTTTCTGTTCTTGACTACCTGCTAGGCCGGTATAGCAGCACGATTCAGCGCTTATGTCGGCGATGCGTCTCTTATCCTTCCACGGGAGGCAATGTTATGTACAGCCAGCAGGAGCCTGAATCTGCGTTTCTGAAGAGCAGATGGTTTACCCGTGGATGGACACTACAGGAGCTTCTTGCACCGTCTACAGTGGAATTCTTCTCCAGAGAAGGAATCAAGCTTGGTGATAAGTTCTCGTTGGCAAATGAATTACAAGAGGTTACAGGCATTCCTACTTCAGCGCTACAAGGCAAAGCTTTATCACATTTCGACGTTCATAAACGTATCTCCTGGACTGAACATCGCACTACAAAGATTCCCGCAGATCGCGCATATTCCCTAATGGGAATTCTTGGCGTCAGCTTGTCCCCAATCGATGGTGAGAGTCCATCTGAAGCGATGAGACGGGTTACAGATGAGGTGGACAAGCAAAATAAGTGCATCCAAGACTTGCGCTCTAGTAACCCGCACGATGATAAGACACGCATTGAGCAGACCAAAGGTGGGCTGCTCGCAGATGCCTACCGCTGGGTTCTCGACAACGATACTTTCCAGCAATGGCAGCAATACTCAGAGAGCCAACTACTATGGGTGAAAGGTGACCCTGGAAAAGGAAAGACGATGCTGCTCTGCGGCATTATTAACGAGCTGCATAACACACTGCCTAGAAATGCACTTCTAGCGTACTTCTTCTGCCAAGCGACCGACCCGCGCATCAACAGCGCCACGGCCGTGCTGCGAGGGCTGCTGTACATGCTCGTGAGCCAGCAACCATCGCTTGTGTCTCATATCCGCAACAGGTACGATCACGCAGGCAAAGCCCTGTTCGAAGATGCAAATGCCTGGGTCGCCTTAACAGAGATGTTCGCGAATGTGTTGCAAGACCCACAGCTAAGAACCACATACCTGGTCATCGATGCAATAGACGAATGTGTTACGAACCGACTAAAACTTCTCGATTTTATCGTAAAGCAATCTTCTGCGTCTCATCGCACTAAGTGGATCGTTGCCAGTCGTAACTGGCCAGACATCGAGGAACAGCTAGAGCTGGCTGAGCATAAAACGAGGCTAAGCCTCGAACTAAACGCTAAGTCAGTGGCGGCGGCGGTCAAAGTCTTTATTCAGCAGAAAGTAGATCAGCTGGCGCAAGAGAAGCGCTACACGCTAGAGATTAAAGATGCTGTACTTGAGCACCTAACGCTAAATGCGAGCGATACCTTCCTTTGGGTAGCGTTGGTGTGCCAAAACCTCCAAGGGACGCCGAAGTGGAACGTGCTTGAGCAGTTAGCCCATTTCCCCCCTAGGCTAGAATCTTTGTATCAGCAGATGATGGACCAGATAAGCGTGTCTAACAGCGCCAAGATCTGTCTGCGAGTACTGGCAGTGACTACGGCTTTATATCGACCTGTCACAATCGCTGAACTAGTCGCACTCGTCGAGCAGCTTAAGGACGTCGACGACTTGGAGTCCGTTCAGGAGATTATTGGCCTCTGCGGATCGTTCCTTACTCTACGAGAAGACACAGTCTACTTTGTGCACCAGTCTGCAAAGGACTTCCTTTTTGCAACAGCGTCTAGTTATATCTTTCCAGATGGTGCTGAACAGATCCATTGGGAAATCTTTCTAAAGTCACTAGCGATTCTCTCTGGGACGTTGCATAGGGATATGTACGGCCTAAAAGCGCTAGGATCTCCCATCGAAAATACAAAACCGCCTAGTCCCGATCCTTTAGTAGAGTCACGCTATGCGTGTGTCTACTGGATCGACCACCTATGCGATTCAAAGACCAAATCTTTGAACAGTATAGCTAATAGTCTACAGACTAGAAACATCATTACAGGATTTCTAAAAAAGAAGTACATCTATTGGCTTGAAGGGCTTAGTCTGTGTAGAAGCGTAGGAAATGGTATAGTGTCAATGGAGAAGCTGTGGTCACTCGTGCAGGTATGGTATACAAAGAATGCATACTTATATAGTAAAGCTTGAACGATCTACACACTGACGTAGATAGGATATACAAGATCATGATGAGCTTACCCAGCTTGTTTATGATGCACGGCGATTCGTTATGTATCACCAAAGAGCAATCGAGAGCTTCCCGCTTCAGACGTATGCATCTGCGCTGTTATTCAGTCCGCGAGCTAGTATGGTCAGGCAGTTATTTCAATACGAAGAGCCAAAAAGCATTACGATCAAACCAGAAATGGGTAACGGTTGGAGCGCGTGCATGCAGACGCTCGAGGGCCATGGCGATGGGGTCTGGTCGGTGGCCTTCTCCCACGACTCGGCGAGGCTGGCGTCGGCGTCGGGCGACAAGACAGTC